TGACTTAAGTCATTGGCTGACTTTGCAACACATAGAAACAAATGAGTTGTAGGACTGAGTGCAATTTTGAAGCCGATGACATATGTCAGTCAAAAGAAGCCTTTTATGTGCTCTCACCTTGATTTTCAAAAAATTTGAAATGTGTGATTGCATGACTTTACCTTCTTAATTCCACCAACGACACAACCTGACATCGGAGCCCATACTCCTCTATTTGAATTTTATTTTTGTCCTTTTCCCAAGATTGGCATTGGTAAATTAAAACCTTAATATTTATCCCGCATTTCTGTAACAATAACATCCAATTTCTCTCTTCTACTCTACTCTTTGGCTATCCAGAAACTGCAAGGACAAACATTTTCCCAGCAAAACCAAAAAAAAACGTCTTCCCACAGTAAAGTCAATAGCAATTCATACATCGACAATATTTGATATTTTTGAACGCAGTTTGATACTTGAATTTGATGTTCGCTTCTTGATGCGGGCAGTGGCAGGGAGACTGGGAGGAAAATGGGAATTTTACTCATGAGCCCTTGATCTTTTTTGAAGACACTTTTTGGGTGGTGGGCAATTTGGGTGAGTGAATTGATGATGATGACGATGATGGTGGAGGGTTTTAATCGAATGTTGGGAAATTAACTTGTTGAGGTTATGTTGTGAATTTTCCAAGTTTTCAATTTTGCATGAAAAAGGTATGGTTGCTCTGTTATTTTTCATTGCCCGTATAATTTTAGGGGGGTTAATTAAGATATGTTATGTCTCAATGTTGACTTTTTCTTTAATTAAAATCTTAAGGATGTGGATAAAGATCAAGGACATTAACAAAGAAACAGACGGGGTTCATGAGGTTATGATCTTGGCAACGATATTTCATGTTATTATAGAGACCAAGGGTAAGATAACCCTCTATGTGTTTTTTATACCCACAGTCATATGGCTAGAGACGGAAATACCATTTGATACGACCAAAACGTGGCTCATCGAAATAACAGTTTTGGCACCCAGGTCTCTTTGGAACAAATCCGTTTCAGGACATTTGGAGTCGATCTAGTGATGTCTGTCCGTCGGGCTGTCTGGCTGGTGCGCTCGATAACTCTGGAAGAGAGTATCCGATTTAGTCCAAACTTGGTACATCGTAATACTATTATCAAACTTAGATCAAATTCAAAGATGGGCAATATCGGCCCACTCCTTCTGGTACCTCCACCAAAAAAGGTCGAATTTTTCAAAAAAAATATATATATTTTATTGCACAGAAAAAGAAAGTATAATCCGATTTTGCAACCAACTTTGCAAATTTTGTTCCAAATATTTGCATCAGTGCTAGGTCATGTATGAAAATATACGATATCGGTTCTCTGCATCAAAGGGTCAAAATTTTTAATAATGGTAACTCTCATGAAATGGGATACCGTTTTTTAATTTCACCCTGTATACCTCGTTGTGTCGTTTGGGAATGAACTATGTAATAAAGGAACTTTTCCACCAAGTACTTGAATTCACACTGAAAACACAAAAAAAACTCTTTTTTGACTGATTTCTGTCATCGGCTGGCTTCTTCGTAGATGAGTTTTAGGAGGTTGACTTAGTTCGATTTTGACCCTAAGCTCCTTTGTTCTTCTTCGAAGCGTGTTATATATTCTCACCTTTAGACATTGTTAGCTGAGCTTATTGGTCTATGACCTATGGCCCTACAACTCTGCCTTTGACCCATCCTTGTCGATTATCCTCACGGTGTTGAAATCAAACCCTCAAAAAAAAGTTGGAACAGCAATCAAAAGAATAAATTAATCACACATATCTCAACATAATTATAAGGTTTGAAGAAAAATACCTATTCAAATAGCCCTTATCATTTGTGTGAAGCATTTTCTTTATATTCCCCACGCAAATATATTCACATTCATTTTTTCGGACAAATACCAGCATATTAAAACAGAGACGACCAGCTAAAGGTCGCGATCATGGCCCCGTAAAAATACTTTTTGGTCACACGCGTGCTAAGGGCACTGATCGTAACATTCAATAAAGTCACCCTCCCCTCATGACCCAAACACATACACACACACACACATGTGCTCACTGGCAAATCCAACTAGATATCCTTAAAGGTTCAAAGTCGCACACTTTTGTTTTTTTTGTCATGCCGTCTGTTCGCGTGACGGCCCACAGTGTTCGGGTGGTTGCTATGAAATAGCGATGCTTGAAATTGTGTAAGAAGAACAAAGGGGGTTGGTGCACTTAACAACACGTGTCCCACATGAGAACAACTGACAGCCGAAAATTCTTATAGGAATTTAAAAAAGCGGATTGCAGCATTGCAACTATCCGGGCAAGGCATGTTACGACCCAATGAATTTGATTCACAAGGCTATGTGGCTAGAGAGGGTATATATCATTTGATACGACCAAAACGTGCCTCATCGAAATATCGCTTTTAGACCCTAGGTCTCTTTGGACCAAATCCGTTTAAGGACATCTGGCTGGTGTCTTGCTGATAACTCTCGAAGGGAGTATCCGATTTGATCCAAATTTGGTATATCGTAATATTATTGTCAAACTTAGATCGAGTTCGGAAATGGGCAATATCGGTCGACTTCTTCTGGTACATCCCCCACAAAATGTCAACATTTTCAATGAAAATAACTTACTGCACAAAAAGAGAACGGATAATGCGATTTTGCTCCAAATTTGCGAATCCTAATATTTGAATCAGAGCTAGGTTAGGTGCGAAAAAGGACAATATCGGTCCACTTCATCAAGTACCTCCCCCATAAACGGTGAAAGTTTGCAATAATTATAGCTCTTATAAAATGTGATATAAGAGTCCGATTGTCTTCAAATTACACACATCCCAATATTTTTATAAATTTAAGATCTGGTGCTAAGATGGAATATATCGGTAAACTCCTTCTGGTACCTCCCCCACAAAGGGTCAAAGTTTTGAATAACCAAAACGATGATAAAATCCAAAATAAGCATCCGGTTCTCTTCAAATTACACACATCCCAATATTTTTATAAATTTAAGATCTGGTGCTAAGATGGAATATATCGGTACACTCCTTCTGGTACCTCCCCCACAAAGGGTAAAATTTTTGAATAACCAAAACGATCATAAAATCCAAAATAAGCATCCGGTTCTCTTCAAATTACACACCTCACATTATTTTTATTTACCCAATGTCTGGTGTGAAAATGAGATATATCGGCGCACTCCTTCTGGTATTTCCCCCACAAAGGGTCAAAATTTTGAGAATCCATGAAGATAATTAAACGCGAATTTAATATTCGAATCCATTCAAACTGGGTACATCTCAATATTTCCATCAACACAAGATCTGTTATAAAGATGGTAGAGATCGGACCATTTTTTCTGGTATCTTCTCCACAAAGGGTTAAAGTTTTGAGTAACCAAAAAGATCATAAACCACGAAATAAGAATCCCGTTCTCTTCATATTTCACACATCCTATTTTTTATACTAACACATATTATGCTGAGAAGAAGGGATACATCGGTCCACTTCTTGTGGTACCTCTTCCACAAACGATCAAAATTTTGAGTAACCATGACGCCCATAAAACGCGAAATTAACATCCGAATCCATTCAGACTTGGTTCATCTCAATATTTCCATCAACACAAGATTTGTTATAAAGATGGTAGAGATCGGACCATTTCTTCTGGTACCTCCCCCACATAGGGTTGAAGATCTTGAAAAACAAAACGCTCAAGGAAAGCTAAATAACCATCCAACTCTCTTTAAATTTCACACATCTGATCCGATGTGAATATGATTTATATCTGCGAACCCCCATCCACAAAGGGTCACAATTTTCAATACTTATATCTGTCACAACTTGCGAAACAAGTCAGCGATTCTTTACAACTTTGCTATATCTGAATATTTCTCTCTACCAGAAAGCTGAGATGAATATTGAATTTATGGACATAAATGTTCGATTTTCCAGCAAATTTGCCCATACCAATATTTTTATCTGTATTAGATGAAATATGAAAATGGAATAATTCGTTCGACTATATCTGGTAACACACGCACATTTTAACATTTTCTAAAAATTATCACATATCTCAGTTGAAGTGAAGGAAGCAGTCAATATAGGCCAAACCTGATACGTCGCAATATTTATATCATATTTTGTTAGGTCCGTCGGATGTGACTTTTTGTACTTGTTTCTCTATTATACGAAAGTACTTAATTGTTCCTTTTCATATTAAAATAACAAAATGTATTAACAATTTACGCGTTAAATTTTGTTTTCGAAATGGAGTACTTGATGTGTTTTGCATTATTTCATTTGCCTGCGATATGTCCATTTGTTGCACATTTCATTGTCAATCGATTATTCACAATCAATAATTTCTCTCTCTCTCTCTTTTGGTAAATATTTCCCAGGATTTTCCCATAACTTTTACTTTTTACCGCCAAATAAAAATCTAAACTCTCAGGATAATATTACTTCAATTATGCTGGCTGACGGCTTTCTGTTCCTGGGAACATTTGTGAAAAATGCAGGAAATGTAATAACGGTAGGTTTTCTGCATTGCAAACGAATGCAAAGAGTCAGCAGCCAGCATCGATAAAACTGACACACAACGTATCACAATACACATGGAGGAAGGAAAACACACACACACACACACCACTCACAGTGGCCTATGCTGTAAGCAATAGCAACAACAATGTTTGTTTTAGTGCTCTCCTTCTCTCTTACTCTGGCTTACTGTACAATGTATTTGGTTATACTCTTCTCTCTTGAATCTCAGTACAGCGCAACAACAGCACACACACACACATACACAGCCAATCCAATGCTATGATTCGTGGTTGTTGTTGGGCCAACACATTCAGACCTAGCGGGCGAAACGGCCATTGCTGAATTCTGATTGGTCGAAATGTAATTGAAAACGCTGTTCACCTAAATTGGGTATAAAAAGACAATCATCGCCCGTTTGCGATTCAATTAAGGGCCATACGACGCAGAAGAACAACGGTAGAGTGTGGTGTGCCGTCGTCGTTGTTTTCTTTTGAGAATAAAAGTACATAGTGTAAAAATAAGAATAATAATAAAAAACAGAAAAATCCCTTTGAAAGTGCAAAGATTTTTTGATAATATCATCATCCGTGTGACCACTATATAAACGTTGTTGCAATTGCGTTTAATGTAATTAATTAGTTTAGCCACTCAGCCGGACGGACAAACTGAGGCATATCACAATTGTACAAGTGCCGTGCCGCCCCGCCAATATCATCAATTTGATTAATTGAAATTGATTTAATTTCACATTTTCGCGCACACTTTGATTAAGCAAAATGGATTAAGTTACGCCGCCACCGCCAACAACAGACATTTAAATAGTCGTGCGAATTTTCCAATTAAAAAAAATAGTAATACGCGTAAATGTAATAATTGCAATTAACAGAAAACTATAAACAAACAATTAAAATACACACACATACATACATATCTATAAACAAAGTTCCTAGAAAAAAATCAAGTTAAAATCAAAAACAAATTTCAACAATGGAGCACACGGCTTTTGAGGATCAAATATTTAGTGAATTTTCGGGACCCTTAAGTCCTTTGGATGGTAAACCCCTGACACCAACATCCGTGGCCCATGGCATGCATTCGGTAATGTTAAGTTTGCCACCGGGAGCCACTGTTATGCAGCATCCCGGATCCGCCGACATGTGCTCCCAACGTTTGCCCGACTGTCAAACGCTGTTGTCCTCAACCTCACCCAAAATGGATCCCTATAAATCTTCAACTCCCGATTACGACAATAAAATGGAATATGTCACAAAAATGGGTTGTTATTCTCCCACGCAGAAATATGAATACTTGACCACCGCCAATGGTGGTGGGTCGGCCCACAAATTGGACCACCATCATCAGCAATACTCCTCAACGCCGCCACCAACACAACCCGGTAATCATACGCCAAATGGTTTGGCTCATCAGCAGCACAAGTCAATGGCCCACCATCAAACCCATCCCCATCATCATCAGCAGCAGCACCAACAAATTCATCATTCCCCCAATGCCATGTTGGACTATGTCCATCATCACCATCAACAACAGCACCAACTTCACAATGCCAATGGAAAAATGGATTATGATCCCCATGGACATCAACAGCAGCAGCAGCAACAACATCCTCATCATCAACAAACTCACCCCCATCACATCTATGCCACCAGCAGTCCCCATCACAATCACCATGAAATTATTAATGCCAATGAACATAATATGTCGCCATTAACCGCTAATGGCTTAATCGGCAACTCGTCGGCTGTGTCCGCCTCATTGGGGGCCAATCCAAATACCGACGGGAGCCTCCTCCAGCAAACGACCATGCAACCAGCAACGCCTAATAATGTGCTAACTGGCCCAGTACCGCAACAAACCAATGGTGGTCTTAACCCACAACAGCAGCAGCAACAACAACAGCAGCAGTCACCAACTGGTTTAACAAATGGTCTGAAACTTAATAAAGGTAAACATGATGAGATGTGCTCCCCACCAAATCCAGACGCCAGTCAAAATAATGGCTCAACATCATCGTCATCCATGGCCAATAGTAATACACCACCTGCTGTCAAAAAGAATGACAAAAAGAAAGGAGATCCCAATGGGATAAAAAAGAAGAAAACGAGGTAAGTCAAAGAACGTTTTTTGGGACAAATAAAGGGTGAAGGATTTTGGGGTTACCTTGCCGTTTTGGCTTTTAGGGCTTTTATATAGTTGAATATTGTTAAATCGAATATGGCACAATTTTCGGACGAACTCGATCGTGTCAATTTTCAAATAAAACAAGTTAAAAAGTATAAATCTGTTTTGCCGACAGATCTATACCCTCACTCAATGTTCGATTATTTAAATATTGATCCTGTATGGGATGTACCAGAAAGAATGGTCCGATCTCTACCATCTTTATAACAGATCATGTGTTGAGACTAGTAAAATATTGAGATTATTAAAAATTATGAAATGTGTGAAATATGATGAGAACCAGAAGCTTATTTCGGATTTTATGATCACTTTTGTTATTCAAAACTGTGACCCCTTTGGGGGGGAGGTACCAGAAGGAATGCTCCGATCTATACCATCTTTATAACATATTTCGTTTTGATGGAAATATTAAAATATGCCAAGTCTAAACGGATTAGGATGTTAATTTCGCGTTTTATGAGCTTCACAAATATTCAACATTTTGACCAGAAAGAGTGGACCGATATATTCCATCTTCACACCAGACCGTGGGTTAATCGAAATATTGTCATGTGTGTAATTTGAAGACAATCGGACTGTTATATCACATTTTGTAAGAGTTATAATTATTCAAAATTTTGACCCTTGAGGGGAGGTACTTGATGGAGTCGACTGATATTGTCCATTTTCTCACCTGACCTAGCACTGATTCAAATATTATGATTTGCACAGTGCAGTAAAACATTTCTTTTGACGATTTCGACTTTTTGTGTGGGAGGTATCAGAAGGAGTGGATCGATATTGCCCATCTCCGAACTCAATTTAAGTTTGACAATAATATTACATTGTATCAAGTTTGGACCAAATCGGATACTCCCTTCGAGAGTTATCGTGCGCACCAGCCAGTCAAACAGACAGATGGACGGACATCGCTAGATCGACTCCAAATGTTCGGAAACGGATTTGGTAATTGCCTGAAGCTTTAAAGCATTTTTGCGTCGGCCATAATGTATCTGTTTTTCAATCAGCTGTGGTTACTGGACAAATGTTTCCATTAAACATTTTTTAAATGCTCAGTAACCCAACTGTCAAAATTGCTCTCTTTACTGGTACTTATTTACGGGACTTTATAGAAAATATTAAAAAATACTGGCTTATTGTTCATACAATTATTGTTCCAGAACTGCAAGAATGTAAAAGTTTTTAACTACGATAACCGATGTTCCCTCTATGATATCAAAAAAAATTGCGAAACAAATAGATTTTGTCAGGTTCTGGAACAGAAAATGATAGGTGTACATCATACATTAGGTGTTGACGGGAATAGTCAAACGCACAACAGTTCATCACCACGGAGTTAGTTTGCCTGATCGACTGGTTACCGGCGCTTCTGGTCCGGACAAGTGTTCTTACTTGGGAAAGGGTTCCTCACAGGCATCCTCACATCAAGTTTTCTCCGGACACGGCCTGCTATCACTGGGATAACACACCAAGGGCAAGTTGTTGTTTTGTCTATCTTCGGTATTGGCTTTAAATCAAACACACAATGGTTTCACTTTTATTTAGCACTTTAAATTATATTGGGGCACAACTCCATTTCTACGACCTTCTTGATCAAGTGCAAAAAACAATTAAAAAATCAAAAACTAAAAGAAGATTATTCTTCTTCTTCTTGTCAAAACATTTGTTTCTCCTTTCTTACACTGCCTTTACACGGTGCAATTTTTAGCTGGCATTTTTATCAATTCTCTTTTAAAATTTCTGCGTAAATCTTCGCGCCTTTACACGGTGGCATAATAGTGCTTGCGATAATAGTGCTTGGCATTTTTTCTGACATTTTATTTTATTCAGTATTTCGTATAGAGCTAATTGTTTGTAACAGATATTTATAAAGAAGTGATTTAAAATTAAATGTGTGAATCTAAAGAAGAAATGATGGAAAAAGTTATTGAGGTGTTAAATATTGCATTATTAACTTTTATTTTAACTTTCTTTTTTTACTTTTTAATACTTCCAATTAATTTTCATATAATTCAATCACTAAAAACATCACATCACAATAAAAGAAACGCATCAAAAATTACAATAAAGAAACGATATGAAATGTCAAAATCATAAAAAATTCGGAAGAAGCAAAAAGAGAAATGCAAAGAAAATGGCATGGCATGGTTAAAAAATGTCACCGTGTAAAGGCAGTGTTACTCTGAGAGCAAGAGAACATCGATCAAAGGCAAAACCAATGATATGGCATTGCCAGTATAGAAAAAAGGGAGGGACGACGTATATGGGGATTGCCTTTAAGGGCGAGTATTAGTGCTGCCCTTGTAGTGCTTTTCCATTGAACATTAGGTGTGTACGAGAACATAATATTTGCACAAAATATTACAAAATTTAGTTCTATAACCCAAAAGTCCTGTAAATTAAGGCAGAGCAAATAAAGAAATTTTGACGATAGCCTGCACACGAGGTTGTTAGATATCTATTATAGGGAGATTATTCTTTGGTGCAGTTACTCGAGCCACCAGCCCGCATTTATTTCTAGGGTAGGCTAGTCATTACTCAAGTACGTAAAAGTGCAAGTACATAAAAAGCTTGAAGTCATGGCTAGGCATATTAATGTGAATGGGAAGCGACGGCAGGATTTTAGTGCCGCTACCTTTATGAAATGTCACAAAATATGCCTTGGCATAAATTCAAGCTACTTATGTACTTACACCCTTACTCCTTTGCCAAATGCTATTTTTCTAACTTTATTTTATGGCTACAAATTTAAATTTCCCTCTTCTTCTTCTTGTTTTCAGAACTACATTTACCGCCTATCAATTAGAAGAACTGGAAAGGGCATTTGAACGTGCCCCATACCCCGATGTTTTTGCTCGCGAAGAATTGGCTATTAAATTGAATTTAAGCGAATCACGGGTACAGGTTTGGTTTCAAAATCGCCGTGCCAAATGGCGTAAACACGAGCCGCCACGTAAGACGGGCTACATTAAGACCAGTACACCGCCCACATCGACGCTGAATACGACGCTGGCGGCACCGTTCGCCACATTTCCCCAGACAACGACAGTGACGCCGCCCGGCAGCATGGACAGCTGGACAAGTTATCAACCACCCTATGAGCTAAGCCCACAATTTAGTTTACTTTCACCGGCCGCAAGTCCTTATGGCACCTATACCAGTCAATATGGTACCTATGTCCATGAATCGCAAATATTTCCAATGCGTCATTTTGAATATGGTAGTCCGCCAAGGGTGGAGATGGGTGGTGGAGGTGGTGGCTCGGTTCTGGCTGGTCCCACTCAGCCGGAAGATGTACAAAAACTACATAATCATGATGCCACGGGCTACATGACACAGCCGGGAATGATGGCTGAAGATGTGACTACAGCCACCCATTTATCTGATGGTACCACCACCACCACCGTACATTTGGTCCATCAACAAAACGGTGGGGGTTCTAAATATCTTGGCAGTGATGAAACGAAATATTTAAATGTTGGATCCGGTAATGGTCTGGATCAGCAGAATGGTACCATATGTCATATCACATCACACGATCCGCAGCAGCAGCAGCAGTCGTCGCAACAAGCTTCACATTTAAATGTGGGCACATCAGCTGGGCCAAATGCCGATGACGCCAATGATGGTGGTGGCCTGCAAACCGTAATAAAAAGCGAGGAAGCCAACGCTGCCCATCAGCATCAGTCGCAGCAGAATGGCGCCGTTTCGCATACCTATGTTTTGCCCCCTTTTTTGCATTAAAAGAAATGCTTGCACACCAGCATAAACATCCGTCGGCCACAATTTTGCAGAATCGTCAAGCCCAGCAGGTCCAAAAGCGTTGGCTTTTACGTAGACAACAGCAGCAGCGGCAGCAGCAAGAACAAAGGGAAAGATTACTAAAATGTCGAACATTTTGCCGACCCTTATGAAAGGCAGGCAAATTGTTGATAGACCCTATCAGGTACTACTATATTGGCAATTCATTATATTGAAGGTATTTTCCGAGAACTTCCAAGGTATTTTTATACCCTCCACCGTACATAGTATGAAGGGTATATTAAGTTCGTCATTCCGTTTGTAACTCATCGAAATAATAATTTTAAACCCAACAAACTTGATTCTTGATCACCCTAAAATTCTGAGACGATTTCTCCCGATATTCGGTATTTTGATGATTTTAGTCACATTTTTCAATGGAATTGTCTGAAAATCCACACAATCAGTTCCCTCAGAGTAGAGTAGTTCTGGCCGAGAATTGTCTATATAGGTCTACGTTTTAGCATAGCACCCATATAACGCTACTCCAAGATATTCGGTATTTGAAGGATTTTCACGACATTATTCCCCCAGAATTGTGTTAAATTTCGTATTTGAAGTTCGTAATGGGTGCTACAACCATTGACGGAAAATTGTCTATGCTGGTCCACGTCTTCGTATAGCTCCTATATAACGGCATCTCGCTTTATTCGGTATTCGGATGATATTAGCGACATTATTCACCGAATTTTTTTTCAAATTTGGTATTTGAAGTTCGTATTAGATACTACAGCCTCTGACAGAAAATTGTCTGTGCAGGTCCACGTTTTCGTATAGCACCCATATAACGCTACCCCAAGATATTCGGTATTTCCAGGATTTTTGCGACATTATTCTCCAGAATTGTCTCAAATTTCGTATTTGAAGTTCGTAATGGGTACGACAAGCTATGACGGAAAATTGTTTATGCAGGTCCACGTCTTATTGTAGCTTCCGATTCACCGGTACATTCCTTTATTCGGTATTTTGATGATATTAGCGACATTATTCACCGGAATTGTTTCGAATTTCGTATTTTAAATTCGGCGTATGACCGATGAAATTACTTATCCAGCACCACGTCGTCGTATAGCCCCCATATAAAGGTATTCATGTGAGCGGTATTTTTCGACGGTTTTTTTTTTAAATTTTCCAGTTCCTTCCGAATGGTGGGGGTATTAAAAGTTTAGCCCGGCTGAACTTAGCTGCAGTTATTTACTTGTTGGAACTTCCAAGGTATTTTGGAACTTGGCGAAATTTTAGTTTATGTCCATGCTTTTCTCTACCCAAAAACCCACAATTCTGCTTTTATGAAACCCCCTCTCGGTGTATGGAAGAAATAACATGCTCTGGTCTTTTTTCCCCTTGTTTGTATGTATTTGTGTGTCAAGCATTTCTTTTGTTATCTATTTTTGTAATTAGTTGTTAAGACTATTTTTTTAAGTAAACCTAAGAGAATTTAAAGAAAAAACAACAACAACAAAATCCAAAGTCTTGTCCAAAGTTTAGCCATAAGTAATTGTTTGCCATTTAAGTTGTAGAATCTATTCCAAAAAAATGCATTCCAAATGTGCCTTAAATCTTAGTTTTAATGTTTTTTTTTCAAAGCCTAAAAGAGGTTTATCAGAGTTTAGGATAATAATTTAAAATAGTTTACAAAATTAAAATTAGCAATTACTTTAAATACCAAACATGTTCCATATATAGCAGATAAGTAAGTAGTATATATATAAAAAAAAAACAAATCAATTGTAAATTACCCAAAAAAACATGCATTCCAAATGTGCCTCCCTTTTTTCAATTATTTTAAAGTATCATTCAATTATATTAATATCAAAATAATTATTACAATTTCTATAAAAAAAAAGCACCTTGTAACAGAAGAAAAGAAACACTGTTGTGCTTTGTGACAATAAATATTTATTTATATTAGATTAGATTAAAAACCAATGGAGGTCCAAGTTCACCCACTGTTGTCGTTTCGTTTCATTTTTTTTTTTCAATTTGTATCTTTAAAATCTTACAATTAGGTGTACTTTAAAAACCATTAATAATTGCTGTCTTATTTAAATTAATGTTATTTCTTTCCTTTTTTAGTTCTAGGCTAATGTCAATAAATATATATTTTTTTAATTTAAAATTTTATTTTTATAATTATATATAGTTTGTTTTTCTTTTGTAAAAAACTAAAACAAAAATAAGGAACATTTCGTAAAATATACAAAAACAAAAAAATAACAACAATTTTTAAATAAAAAAAACAATTTTCTTACAAAACAAATGTTATTCGTTCACCGGGTATTAAAACCTTGTTGTTTAATCTCCTCCCAATTGGTATCGGCAAAGTATTCATGTTGTTTGATACGCTCATAGTCGAGACGCTCTTCCGGTTCCTGTTGCAGTAACCTTTCCAATAAGTTACGCTTAACCTTGGGTATTTCAACATTTTCCGGATATTGTACAAAACCGTACAAATCAATTTGTCCCGGATGAGCAGCTTTGAAGGGCTGAAAGATAAAACAACAATTAAAATATTATCTGCGAATATTATCTGGTTAAGAGAAATATTTGGATATAGTAAGTTGTAAAGAATCGCCGAATTGTTTCGCAAGTTATGTCGGATATAAGCATTGGAAATTGTGACCCTTTGTGGTTGAGGTATCAGAAGGGGTTGGCAGATATGTATCGTCTTCACAACAGATCTCGCGTCAACAAAAATATTTGGATATGTGAAATTTGAAGAGAATTTGAGAGAGTTATTTCGCTTTCCTTGAGTGTTTTGTATTTCAAAATCTTGAACCCGATGTGGGGGAGGACCAAGTAAAGGTTCGATCTCTACCATCTTTATAACAGATCTTATATTGATGAAAATATTGAGATATACCAAGTCTGAACGGAATCGGATGTAAATTTCGTGTTTTGTGAGCTTCATAAATATTTAAAATTTTGACCACTTGTGGGGGAGGTACCAGAACAAGTGAACCGATATATCCCATTTTCTCAACATATCTTGTGTTAGTAGAAATAATGGAATATGTGAAATATGAAGAGAAGTGGATGCTTATTTTGAATTTTAAGATCGTTTTGGTTATTCAAAACTTTGACCCTTTGTGGGGGAGGTACCAGAAGAACTGATCCGATCTCCACCATCTTTTTAACAGATATTGATTGGATAAAAATATTGAGATGTACCAAGCCCGAATGAAATCGGATGTTAATTTCGCGTTTTATGAGCTCCATGAATATTCAAAATTTTGACCCTTTGTGGGGGAGATACCAGAAGGGGTGGATCGATATATTCTATCTTCTCAGCATATCTTGTGTTAGTAGAAATAATGGGATATGCGAAATATGAAGAGGACGGGATGCTTATTTCGGGTTTTATGATCGGTTCGGTTATTCAAAACTTTGACCATTCGTGGGGGAGGTACCAGAAGGAATGGTTCGATCTCTACCATCTTTACAACAGATCTTGTATTGATGGAAATATTGAAATGTACCAAATCCGAATGAAATCGGATGTTAATTTCGCCTTTTATGAGCTTCATGAATATTCAACATTTTGAACCTTTGTGAGGAAGGTACCAGAAGGAGTAGACCGATATATTCCATCTTCTCAGCATATCTTGGGGGGATCCGATCGTCTTCAAGTTCCAGCCGCATCTCCACCAATATATCCATAATGCGATCACATGTCGTTGGCACATGTTTTCTCAGTCAAACCACAATCCTATTATCAACCTCTTTCAAATACCACTACCTATGTACTTACCAAACCAACAAACAGTTCATACAAAATAACACCATAACTCCACCAATCTGAACGCAAAGTAAGTGGGCGTTCGGGTGCCACAAAGTGATTATCCAAGGCCTTGGGATTAAGGGCTTTGTGAATGAAACTATCCGATGAGAGACCTTCATTTTGATAAAAATATGACAAAAGTAATTGACTATTTTCATCCAATAATAAATTGTCCATATGCAGATCACTGAAAGGCAATAGGCAAACATCACTCGATTATTATTTCATTCGAAAAAAAGACAAGTTTAAAAACTTACCACAAAATGACACTTTTCTCGTGCAAAGCGTGAATGGCAACCAGAAGTTGTTGGGACCATTTCTTGAGGAAATGTTGTGGAATGCTATACAGAAGTATGCCATTCATTCGACGGGGTATAAATTCCGATTCGTTTATTGTATTTGATACAGATTCAATTAACTGTTTAGAGGACTCTACCAGGTCTGGCACCAGTTCTGGCGAATCCTTTGAGATTTTACAAACATCAGAAGATTTTTCTTCCTCTTCATTTAATTTCTGAGTTTTCTCATTGCTCAGATTTTGGGAATGTACGTAATCGATTAGTTTACCACCCAAGGCCAGCTTGAGAAGTAGAAAGATTTTCTGATCCGATTGAAAGAATGCCAACAGATCGACCATATAGGGTATATGCTGTGGAAGGAATACTGTTTGAGTTGGCGAATTGCTGGAGGGTTTTTCAATGCCTTTCATTACATATTGCGGTTTTAATGGCTCGGTTATGCACGACACCAGCAATACCTTATTACCCAACAGGGCATTTACTTTATATTTAGCCATGTGATGCCAAGGCCGTTCCAAATAAAACCCCGAACTTTCCGAATTTGTATTGCATGACACATCCAATGCCAATTGGAAGTTTGATGTTGAGACAATGGAAGCAATTGATCTTTGAGAATTTTTCAAAAATCTCTCATGTATATCTTCGGCTCTGGCCAAGTATTTGCTTATCTTAGCTCTAGCAATGTACACGCGATCGTCATTTAAATCATCTTTGCAACCTTTTAGTAGAATGTCAACGCCCGATTTATAACGCGTGTATGCATCATTATAATCCAAATTCGCTTCGGCTTGTACGGCTGAACTGAATTCAAGAGCTGCTTCGTAAATATAGTCGCTATCTTCGCTCTCAACCGAAGCCATGGGGGTCAAAAAACGTAAATTACATTTTGTTGTTAGGCTTGTATCGAGACTGGTATCATTGTCAGAGCTTTTACCATTATCAACAATCGAATCTCCATCCCCCTCCACATCCTCCGCCTTCTCACATTCATCTTTGTCGTTTGGAAATATTTCTGCTATTATAATATCCTCATTTGATTTTACACCGCTGTCCACAGTATCAGTTTCAATTTCCAAACTCCTTCCGACCAAGCTACGTGCCGCCTTTTGTACAAGTTTTTGTATTTTATTCGAGGGCGTTGCTTCGCTACTAAAGAACTGGGCAAAACTGTGTGACTTATACAAGGCTGGATGCTGGGCCACAAAATCCAACAACGATACAATGTAGGCTTTACGTTTTCGTATAACATCCTGATCGAAACGCTTAAAAAATGAACAATCTATAGGTTCGGGCATATAACCGGATAGGCCCAGACTCTTATGCCTTCTCTTCAGTTCACGATGTAGCTTTTTTATGTCGTGAAAACGTCGCCATACCACCAAAGTTGTTAAGGCCTGCGGCACCGCTCGGGGGAAAACCTTGGAGCAACAAAACAGGGAAGCATTGAAAAAATCTAGAGTCTTTCTTTAATTATTCAATACTTACAATGGATGTAATCTTATAAAGAGTAAAGCCAGCCTTGTGGGTCTGAGTATCCGTCACAGCAAAGCTATGTATCCAGCCGCCCAAATCCGGTGCCATATTGTTGCCGTTGTAATTCAATGGACAACTGAGCTATTAAATATTAATTTTCAATGTTTCCATGTTTGATGATTGTTTTGAATCCAAAGAATTAAAAGAATTTAAGAAAGTTTAATTTATATTTTCCAGACAACGACGTCGAAAGATTTTTTCGTCGGCGTCGGCTTTTGGCATATAACAGGCGTACCTAAAAACAGTCGTACGCTTTTAACAGAATTTAATGTCATGTTTACTTTAGAACTTTTTGTAGGGTTAACCTATTCTAAGTGGATTTATTTGAAGTTTAAATAGTTGTGTTCCAGAACCTGCAAATTAGTACTAATTAGCAATAATTCTGCTACAACGCGTTCCCGTACTCCAAAAACTAGCAAAACTTGCAGCTCTCTCGAGAAAAAAATGGCGCTGAATGGTGCACATTTCTGCTTGTTTAAGCTACATAAATTTGGCCGAGCAGAAATGTGCATATTGTAAATTTGACATTTAATTGGCAGGGCTAACAAGGTTGAAAAATGTATTGATACATTCAATAAAGAAAATGATCAACTTGAAAACTAAAGGAAAAACTAATATTTGTCGTGCAAAAAACAAAAAGAGAAAATATGGAGCAACTGATGTATTCACTTTTGGATGATTCCAGCAGTGAAGAGGACTGGCTGAATGAGGAATCTGATTAGTAATTATTATTATAAATTATTAATTTTAACTTATCGTCTTCAATACTCATTTTTTAAATGTTGGCGCCCTTTTCAGTAAGGTTTCACCAGTCCGGTTTAGGCTGTTTACTTTTGGAACTTTGAATTTTGACATTTTATCGCATTTCTGCTAATTTTCCGTTCCCTTATTTTTTGAGCAAACCTAAATGGGAATGACATTTCGAACTGTTCTCTCTTCTGCTAGTTTTACTACTAAAAAAGTACTGGAACACAACTAATAATGGAGATGACAATTTTAATTCAAATCCAGTGGGTTAACCCATTTAAATGTAAACGTACTGTTATATTGTTTAAAATCAAGGTGTAATTGTTGCAGGCAGCAGCAAACCCTAGATGATTTGACTTTATAGTATTACTAGTGTCAAATTCGATATGACGTCTTATAATTTAATTCCATTTCTTGACGTACAATAGGTATACACATTTATGATATAATAAAACTAATAATATAAAACAACTCTGTTATACTTTACAATACAATAACGGCGATGGTGCGGAAACATTTTCGTGGTACAGGAACAGGGACACTACATTTTATAATATAATAATAGTATTATATTTCATGCACGGTAAAATTAAGAAGATAAAGTCATTTCAAATAAGTATTCGCATCTTTGCATTTTCTGTAATTTACCTTGTGAAATTTCACTGCATAGAAAGCAGATTTCCATCTCTGATTTGTTTACAGGGTGAAATGAAAAAAACTGCAACCAACTTCAGACTGCTGTCATTTCTAAGTCCCTCGTCTGACAGCAACTTGGTGAGAATTTTCCAGAAAAATAATTTATTCGTTATGGTATGCAAGCGTGATAGTGTGATTTCTTTATATTTGGCAGGAAAACCACAAGTGGATGTCGTTAGAGCACTCCAGCATTTAAATATGAGTAGATATTTTGTGTCTTGTACCATCGCTCGTTACCGTGATACTGGTTGCATAACCCGACGTCAAGGAATTCGACGGAAGAAACCAGCAACATCAGCAGAAATGGTTCGAAAAGTGAAGAAGCGAAGTGATCGAAACACGCATGGCTCATGAAGTGAACATATCGCAATATTCCATACGGCAAATATTAAAAAATGAGCTCGGGGTAAAGCAATTGAAATTCCAAAAAGGTCCAAGAACTTACACCGCAACAGCGCACAATGGCTACCAAACGGATCCCAATCCGTTGGACTATTGTGTCTTAAGTATTTTGGCAATAAAAATACCAATGTGTCAATCAACTTAAGCAAGCGCTTCATCGGGAATGAGCCAGAATACCGCAGAGCAACATTCGGGCAGCGTGTGACGGTTTCATTGGCCATAATTCGTGCCAAAGGTGACCAATTCGAACAACTCTAAACTTATTCTAAATTTTAATGGTATTTCCGACATTTTTTGCTCTCAATCAATAAAATTAAAAAAAATGTAAAAATATTGACTTGACTTTGTTGCAGCTTTTTTATCTCACCCTGAAGATTCAGGGGAATGATATGAAAACATTAAAATTTAATATTTTATAGAACTGACAGTTTAATTTCGAACATGACTAAGAATGTGTATTTTTTTAAAGCAGCTTATCCAGTTTTGCAACATTGACATGTCAACAATTTTAAAATGTTTTTTTTTTTAAATAAGTAGATTTTTATATCTTTTTTATACGACGTCAATCGGAGGTTTTTATGATGTGTATTTTTCAACAATTTTTTGTCGAATTTGAATAATATTTCATTTAAAACATATAATTGCAAAATAATTTTGACAGTTCATTATCCCAGCAGCTGTGTCAATGCGACAACCTGTATTTGTCTATCATGCAATCTACTTAAAACCTCAGACGACTTTCTTTTTTAGTTTACAAAAATGTCACTCCTATTTTCTTAAATAGTTATTAAATTAATTTCATATTTATTTAAATGATAACGATAGCAGTGTATTACCCTATTCACGAAGAAACGTAAAATTTTTTAATATAATCCAAGAAATTGACAACCCAAATTAAGATTTTTTTTGGAGTTTTTCAAAAATATTTCCAATTTAATTACAGCCAGCTAAAGTCGTACAGCATACGCTGTCATTTAGTTAAAAGCCGCATTGACATTTGACAGGCATTGCCAACAGTGCTTTTCTGCGCACCACTACAAAACTACAAAAAGGTGCGGCCATATTGGTTATATTACCTTTCCTTGTTCCACTCATGTTTCGGCCATATCGGCATGCAAAAAATTTCTCGTTGCCTTGCTTGCAATTGGCGACAAAACCACAAAAAAGGAACGAAAAACTAGTGTGACGACGATTCTATACAAATCAAATCGAGAAGCAGCGGTGTAAAGACGACGGCGATTATCAACCATTTTAAAAGTGTGTATTTTTTATTGTCACAAAAAAAAGAAAAGAAATAATTTTCGCTGAATTCTAAGTAAAAACAAAGCAAACATTCATAAAAGTGACTCAGTGATATTGAATTTAAAAGAAAACACTGAAAAACCATTTCTTTTTCTCTTCTCCGACCAGGATTTCAGAGCGACTTTACCCTGCGTACACCCAACGACATTGAAAAACACACACACACGCATACATTATAGAAGAGAAGCGGCGGCTTGTCAGAGAAACAGAAGAAAAAACGTAGTAGAGAAAAAAAGTTAAGCAAAAAAAGCAAGAACAAGAACGAAGGCGACCAAGTCGTAACTGAAATACAGAAGCACAACGACCGACGCCGGGATTCAAACGAAACTGTTGTTAAATTGTTAAAATAAAATTAACAAACAAGAACGCAGAAAAAAGGCATTAAAACACCTTTTCTCTACAAATACACAAAAACAACAACAGCAACTCTACCACAAATAAACTATTTGCACAATGTCTGAACGGGAAAATAATGTGTACAAGGCTAAATTGGCCGAACAAGCAGAACGCTATGATGGTGAGTAATAGTTTAAAAAAAAATTAAAACAGTAATCAACTTTTAAAAGATGTCTATTGGCCAAGTAAAAAGCATCGGATGCCAGCTTCCATCTACTATACCAAAGACTCGCTAAATGGATAAAAATGGAAAATTTTTCTCTGGAAGAATCTCATAATGTGTTGTGCGATGGGGAAGGGGAACAATGAAAAAAAGTCAAGAAAACCCGAATGTCTATCAGTCGGTCTGTGTTGCCTCTCCGTCTTTTCGTCGTTGGTTGGCTGGCTGGATGGATGGTGCGTCAGCAGTCAAAGCAATCAAAGGCCAGTAGTGTCTTGAACAAACCACCACATAGTAGAACATCCAGTCGAGCTGATGATGAGTAAAAAGTTTTCGTAGAAATCGCAATGATAAATACAACAAAACTAGTTTTTGGCCGGCAAAATTCTTCGGCGGCGTGTTTTTTCCCTCAATCATGCCTTGTCTTAAACGCTTAAAGCTTCTTGTGGCTTATTTTTTTTACCAAGAAAATCTTTATTTCTTTTGCTGTCAAATGATTTGATATTGGTGAAGAAAAAAATTTTCTTGGTTAAAATCTCAAAGAGTATAGAGAAAATTTCCATAAATGTATATGACGACAACGGAGGCGGCGGCGGCGACGACGATGGTGGTGATGACTATGGAGTGACTGCTGCGTCGATGTGATGTGGATAATGTAGGGGGGTGGGGGGTTATGTTTATTTTAGGGTGGTGTCTTGCACATGAGTGTAATTTATTTTTCATATTCTCGAGAAGTGTTATATCTAAATTTAGATACATTTTCTTCTTTACTATCTTTGGAGTCGTCGTCGACGCCGTTCAAAATCCCAGTAATGAGGAAGTAAAATGTGCTGCATAGCAAACAAAACTTTTTTTTTATTACTTTATGGTGGAGACGGCAAACGAAAAAAATTTTCGTCTTAAAATGTGGTTTTTGCAATTTCGAGTCATCATCAGCGCCGTCTTTTTCGTTGTCGTCGTCGTCGCCAGTCTCTCATTATCTCCTATTGCCATTTCACTTGCCATAACGACAAAGTTGTGCTTTAGTATCCTGTTTGCCGTTTGAGTGAATAGCACCGCTAGCTAGGTTACAAAATTCGCAGATTTTTTTTTCAATATTATTGTTGTTGCCTTGTTTGTTAACTCTTTGGGCTTACTCAGTCTCCTTTTTGTTTGTTCTCTCGTTTGATGAGAGTTTTTGTTGCCCCCCTTCCCTTGCTCATCATACATTTGGTTTGTTGAAATGTGTGTGATTCGCTTTGCAAAGGTGTGTGCGTCTGTTTGCGTGCGTTTTGTGTGAGCTGTTCGCGTTACAAGCGCGAAAAATCGATGAATGAATCGATCGTTGTTGCTTTGCGCGCTGCTAACAAGTAACCAAAAAGTTCGAAAGCACATACACACACATGCACTTATAATCAAAGCGTGCAGAATTTGATGTATACACACAGAAGTTGGTTGGACTGTGTGTGTGTGTGCGTACGTTTGTTCGTTTTTTAAACAGAGTTGCCATGGTACATATTTGTTCTCCCCCCAAAAAAAAGTTGGGGAAACAGTTTAGCAATAAATGAAATGAGTTTCTTTTCCACCAAAATATGCATGCACTGCGCACATCGTCACTGCTGCCGTTGTCATCGTCACACACGCAAATGACTTAAAAATGAGTCATCAATTCACTCTCTTCGGTTTGTGTTTAACACGAGAAGGGAGTGGGGTAGTAGGCTTTTTTGCTTAATTTAAAATTGAGATTTGTTTGTAAACAATAGTTTTTTTTTATTTTGTAAACTTTACCGATCGGTTGTAATAATTTCGTTTTGGTAAGGGGTGGGAGAAGAAGAGGGAGAAGTTGGTGGCCATTCATTGGCGCCAATGAATAAATGACAATATCGACAATTACACAGGGAAAATGAATTACAAGATTTAAATGGTAAATATTTGTTTTTATTAACAACTTTTTAATGAAGGGCTCGTATACATCTAATTAAATTGTCCGTGAATGGGACACAATTTCGATAAATGTCAAGTCTAAGAACAGGCTCCTCAAATTACTGATGTGTTTAATCCTCAGTGTCCAGACTAAGAATGTAATCCTCTTTAGGCACAAGTCAAAAAAAAAAAAAAAAACAAATAATATTAGTTGTACCCCCAAAAATATGTGTAAAATTGAAAATAAAATTGTTGGCGTTAGTGTCTGCAACGGCCACACTTTATGAAAAAATTATTTAAGGTAGTTCCTGGTTGACGTCTTTTGGACAATCCAAATCATAATCTATCACTCCAATGTGAAATCTTTTATCTGTCTGTCTATTAAAGAATGTCCTCTGTCTTTAACTTTGACAATCAATCTAACTTTACAGAGGATCGTCCTAGATGGCTACATAATTTTTATGGTATTGAAAATGGGAGGCATATGTCTCCATGTTTTCGTTTAGTCCCTCCCCCATAGGAAGGTGCTTCACGATATTTGATATATTACCCCCCCCCCCCACACACACACACACATTTGGTATTTTGATGACAATAGCCACATTTTTCAACAGTGTTATTGTTTCAAATTTCGAGTTTGTAATAGGCAACATTACCACAGGTAGAACATTTTAAGGCCCTTATATAACAACAGTACATCCTGGTATTTGGTATTTTGACGATTGTCGCCACATTTTCCATCCATCCATAAAGCGCTTATTTGGCTGGCTTAAGTCTTCGGCTGGATTCTTCGGAAATGAATAAAGGAACTTATGGCCAAAATCGAACTAAGTCAACCTAAAACTCCATTGTTCCTCTACGAAGAAGACAGCCGATGACTCAAGCCAGCCAAATAAGGCCTTTATGTATTCCCACCTTTACTCTATAAGTCCATGTTTTCCTATAGTTAGCTATCATATGCCTCCTTGTATGGCGTTTTTTGATCATTTCAGGTACAATTTTCAACTGAATTGTTTCAATTTTGATATTTGGAGTTTGTAATTGGCTACTACCATTCAATCTCCTCTGACCGAAAATTAGATAATCAGATCCTCGTTTTAGTAGAATTCTGCTTAGATGGGTATTAGGATCGCAGTTTTTTTTATTGGCAATAGACCAAATAGTTCGACGTTCTGATATAGCCCCCATATAGTTGTACCGGCAGATTTAAGGTGTTTTAGATGTTTTAATCATAATTTTAATGCTTATGTGCTATAAATTAACACTTTGTGTTCCCAGTATGTAGGAAACATCCTTGCAGAGAACTGTATATATAGGTCGATATTTTTAACGGATTTTTATATTTGGTAGAAAATTTTCTAAACAAGTTCATATCTTCGTATGGCCCCCATATAACTGAACCTCCCAAAATTCTCTATTTTCACAATCTTATTCACTTTTTTGTCGGAATTGTTTAAAATTTGGTAATTGGAGATTGTAATGGGTGCTCCCTTCTCTGACGGAAAATTGCCCATACAGATCCACAACTTTGTAAAGCCCCAAATTTATAATTTGGAAGTTTGCAAAGGGAACCACATTCATATGGCAGAAATTTGCCTATCAAGTTTCAGGACTTCATATAGCCCTCATGCAATGGTATTTTCGCGATTATAGACAATTCAAGGGATTTATTTCAATTTTAGAATTTGGAAGTTCGCAATGGAAACTATATCCTATGACAGAAAATTGATTGTACAGTTCCAGAACTTTATATAGCCCCCATATAATAGTATTTTCGCGATTTTAGGAAATTTTCTCAACGAATTATTTCAATTTCGGAAGTTTGCAATGGGGAACCTACATTCCAATGACAGACAATTGTCTATTGCCCCATATAAAGGTATTTGCCTATATTCCATATTTTTTCGAGTTCGCAAATGGGCCTTCACTGGCAGATATTTGGCAATATATATTTTTGATATTTTCATGGTACCATGGATATTTTGCTCATTCCAAAATTCGTTCTTTTCCAACATTTTGTTGGCGAATTCTATTTCATTTCGTTTGCCAATTTTTAGATATTTATCTACTGCCTTATTCCTCCATGGCAACACTGTGCTAGATTTCGGTTTTATTACGTTGTAGAACTAATGCAGTATTACTCACTCATGTGGCCTTACTTGACTTTGTTTTTTTTTTTTTTTTTGCCTTTTTGGCCAATATAATTTCTTTGGAAACATTTTTGCTGTCGTTCCGAAATAATAGTGGAGAGATGGTGTGGTCTGTCCTTTATTCGTTCTGTTATTGTTGTTTGCAGCGCGTAACCGTGGCAAATTTGAATTTAAATAATTTGCGTGATTATATATGTCTTGTATTTTTTGGTTAAGTGGGGTGAGGGGGCTCTCTTTGATTCGATGGTGATGGTGGGGAAGAACAACCTCCCTCCTCCATTACATTTTCATCCCTTGTGTGCGCACAAGGAAAACGAATTTAATTTTACCATCTCCCTCCCACCTCCATCACACAGTCCGATGGACTGACTGACTGACTCACTACCCGCTACGAAGCGAATAACATTAGCTAATCTATAGCCACCCAACTCCCCCCGGTATTCCATGCCATTAGAGTTGGGAACACAACTCCCTTTACTCTACCACCCATCTACTACCCCCAAATCTTTGTTGAGAAATTGGAGCATACCGAAACATATATATGTGTATATATTTCTTCAATAATTTGTATGTGTGTTGGGGTAAAAAACAGATGTGGAAGTGTGTTTTTTATTCTTTTCTACAGGAGTAGACTTTTTGTCGTTGCCATCGCCACCGTTTTCCCATTCGAGTTTTTGGTTGTCGGGGGGAGAACAAGTGCCCAATATGAAATGACAAATTGGTAATTGAGAGCCAGTTTAATTAACAGCGGCGGTGTGTTGAAGGATATTTGTGGAGTTTATGTCACTCACCACCACTGCGCGCCACCAGCCACCATTAATATGGCGGTGTTTGGTGACCATGCTTTCATGTGCTCGATGTCTCACCTTAGTGTAGTGTAGTTTAGTCTGATTAACTACAGGTAATGGTAATGGACACTTTACATTGCTTTTTTCATGCGTTTTTTTATTTGGGACAACCAACATACGATACTGTTGTTGCTCCCCAACTAGCCGATCTTTGTGACCAAGCTAACCATCCCCACCTCTTCCCCCTTTCTCCCATTAGCTTTTTTGCCCTCCACTTCAGTTTTCTCGCAATCTTTGCGAGTTTTTGTTTTCGCTGTTGCCAAAAAAAATTTGGTTTGGTTGTTGTACCATGCCGCCGCCGCCGTCGTCACATTTGCGGGCGCTGTTAGAAAAGTCTCCTCGTGTCTTAAGATTATGGCTGATTGTGATTTTGTGTGTGAGTGTGTTTGTGCGAGTCTCAGATGGATGGATTTGTCTTGCTCGCTCACACGCATGACTGAAATCTTGAGGTTTATTCTTCTTCCAGTGTGCAGACTTTTTAGTCTTGCCGAGCTGCTAAATAATAATGTTAATGTTAGTCGCCAACCGCGACTGCTGCTAATATTCTTGTTGTTCTTGTAGTTTTCAAGTTTGTTGCTGCTTTGCTTTGTTTCTTTTTCAAGAATTCTTCTTTGTTTTTGCGCTACTTTGTTCGCTAAGATTCTTATGAGCCGGCAAAAAACAGCGAACATAAGTTGTTGCCCCTCACTTTGTGAGCGGTTTTCTTTTTTTTTTTTGTATTTTTATTATTGGAATGTACATTTTTAATACTTCTCCCCCCGAACGCCGGCCTGGCCTGTCTGTCCACTACTTTCATATTATTTTAGCTTTGTTTAAGTGGTGGTCGGTCGATCTCTGTGTATAATATGCCGCGCCGTCTATTTGTCTGACGTTGAAATGATGATGTCGATGTTGTAAGCCTGTTTTCTGAGGTTGCACACAAATGTTTAATTCCCATTCTATATTTTCTCCTTGGTTACATCAACACAATATGGGTCTTTTTCTTCTTGTTGCCCCCTATAATTGTTTTATGGCCCAACCAATCATTGAGGCTTGTGCCAGCATTTTTTTCCTTTTGATTCAATGCTGCTGCTTTTGAATGTGATTTATAATTTTCCGCATTTCCTTTTTCCATTGCGTGGCAGCGGCGGCTGATGGTGGTGGTGTGGTGGAGAACTTTATACCTCTTTTGTTTTTCTTTTTGTTCTTGTACTGCTGCGCCTTTCTGTCTGTTTCATGCATCCATGTTTGCATATTGGCGACTGAGTGTAAGTGAAAGGGTTTTCTTCTTGTGCTGGCTGGTGGCAGGTTGACTGACTGACTTTTCCCCAGCCAGACAATTGCGTCACGAGTTGCTGAAATTATTGAAGGTCATAATTCGTATTCTAAACTTCTTTTAGCCTAGTTTATTTGAGTTGTCTTGGCGAGGAATATGAGGGAGGGAGGAGAGAAGGAGGACGGCTTTGAGTCTGCTGTTGGTTGGAGTAAATTGTTTGCCCTACGAAAGGGTGATTCTATAAGAGCTATACAAAAGTTTTTCAAAAAAAAAAAAAAAAAAAAAAAAGATGAACTTATAGACCACACTGAAGAAGTTTAGACAAGAAGAAGTTCTCACTCTATGCCATTGAGATCTGTTGAGAAAAACAAAGTGTCTTTAGTTCAAATTGCCCATAAATAGTCATTCCTCTAACGTTGTTGTTTTAACAGTTTCACATAGTTTGTTATTTCCTGCTAATCAGGCTCCATCTCCAGGATCAAAAATTCGGCTTCTTTCGCGGTCTAAATCCAAAAATCTTCTGAGGAGTGGGTGGGGTAGATTTGGTAGGGCAATTAAATAGGTGCAGCGCATTGTGCGATCCTGTATCATACGCCTCTTCCTCAATTCGCACCTAAAATGAATTGAGACGACTGCACCATTCTGAAAGTAACTGCTCCAAGGAAAACTACCCTGGTTTGTCTAAGCAGCCGGCGTTCTTCAGCTGTGGTGGATGGGCGGTGGACTTCGAGGATGGCATTTATACTATAATATTTGATGGCATCTGCGACTGCATCAGTATGAATGCCACTCCGATCTGTCTGATAGGCTTCTTCTTCACGGGCTCTCTCAGATAGCGCTGGACCTCCCTCTCTAGCTCAGGTATGTCCTTCCTGATACGCCTGGGTGCGAGAGTTTTCCCAACGAAAGCATATGGTTATGCTGACGTACGAGAAAGGCCTCCTCATGTTGACGATCCATCGGTGTCATGAGGCATCCCCGTCACAGTTCTCATTGCAGCATTGCATTGTGGCAGGTATGGATGTTCCTCTACTGCGTAGCACCTATATTCACAAACCACACTGGGCCGCACAACTGACCATATACCTCGGCCTATATCTTTACAAGAGATCAACGAGATATCCTTGTCCGAGCCCCAAGTGCTGCCTTGAGGACCTTGTTCCTACTTTTCATTTTGTCGTAGATAGCTGTGTAGATACAGCAAGGTGTAAAGAATCGCTGACTTTTTTCGCAAGTTATGACAGATAAAAGAATTGAAAATTGTGACCTGACGTGGTTCGCAGATATATATCATCTTCACAACAGATCTAGTATTACCAAAAATGTTTGGATATGTTAAATTTGAAGAGAACCGGATACTTATTTCGCTATCTTTGAGCGTTTCGTTTTTCAAAATCTTGAACTCTATGCGGGGTAGGTACCAAAAGGAGCGCCCTTCACAGCAGATCCTGTGTTTTGTAGAAATAATGGGATGTGCGAAAATTGAAGAGAACTGGGTGCTTATTTCGAATATTATGATCGTTTTGGTTATTCGTTTTGGTATCAGAAGGGGTGGACCTTTATACTCTATCTTCACACCAGACCCTGGGTTAATAAAAATATTGTGATGTGTGTAATTTGAAGAAAATCGGACACTTACATCACATTTTTAAAGAGTTAGAATTATTCAAAATTTTGACCCCTTTTTGTGGGGGAGGTGCTTGTTGAAGTTGACCTATATTGTCCATTTTCGCCCCTGACGTAGCACTGATGGAAATATTAGGATTTGCAAAGTTGGAGCAAAATCGTATAATCCTTTCTCCTTCTGTGTAATAAATTATTTTCTTTGAAAATGTTGACATTTTGTGGGGGAGGCACCAGGAGTGGATCGATGTTGCCCATCTCCCAACTAGATCTAACTTTGGCAATAATATTACCAAGCTTGGATCAAATCGGATACTCTTTTCGAGAGTTGTCGTGCATACCAGCTAGACAGACAGACAGACGGACGGACATCGCTAGATCGACTCCAAATGTCCTGAAACGGATTTGGTCCAGAGACCTAGGGTCTAAAACCATTATTTCAATGAGGCACGTTTTGGTCCTATCAAATGATATATACTCTCTGTAGCCATATGGCTGAGGGTATAAAAATAGTAAATTTGGTTCACGTTGTCCTCTAATTTGTAATTTTAAAGATAACAACGATTTAAGGTGAGCTGTGTGAATAAGCATGCATAAAATTTATTATTATAATACCACTCCCATAAATGCTACACCCTTGTTACACAAACATAACCCTACCCTACCAAACCCACTATGGGTTTTTACTCCACGTCTTTACCTGATTGAACATAATTTGTCCACCATAGAAAAAATAACACTTTTTTAATTTAAATTAAAAATCTCTTCTTTCTGTTTTTCGTTTTTTTTCAGAAATGGTTGAGGCCATGAAAAAAGTTGCCTCCATGGATGTGGAATTAACCGTTGAGGAGCGTAATCTCTTATCGGTTGCCTACAAAAATGTGATTGGCGCACGTCGTGCCTCATGGCGTATAATTACCTCAATTGAACAAAAAGAGGAGAATAAGGGTGCCGAGGAGAAATTGGAAATGATCAAAACCTATCGCGGACAAGTCGAAAAAGAATTACGCGACATATGCTCGGACATATTAAATGTTTTAGAGAAACATCTCATTCCATGTGCCACCACAGGCGAAAGCAAAGTATTCTACTATAAAATGAAGGGTGATTATCATCGTTATTTGGCCGAATTTGCCACCGGTTCGGATCGCAAAGATGCGGCCGAAAATTCATTGATTGCCTATAAGGCAGCTAGTGATATTGCTATGAATGATTTGCCACCAACACATCCAATTCGTTTGGGTTTGGCGCTTAACTTTTCGGTAAGTGGAAAATTAAAGTTATGGTTATGAATTAAGTTTTTATTTTTAGTTATTTGTTATTATTAATTCGAAAATGTAGAAAATGTTTGTCAACTCCAAATATGACCGTCTTATAGATGTTCAAAATGTCTTCTATCTACAAAGGGGGCTAAAAGTCTTCTCATATCACATATGCAAAAAATCGTATGGAACTCCAAAAGATCTTCTGTCCGAACTTCAAATTGACTGAACATAGAAGTCGCAAATGATTGAAAAATGTTCTCACGGAAGTCCGGGGTTTTTCAAATGTTTTCAACTATAACCAATAAAGAGGCACTCTTAAAAGAGTCCAAATGAGGTCGTCTTATAGATGATTAAAAAACTTCTTCCTTCCCATGGAAAAAAAATCTTTTCATACTAATCCAAAAAGACTTTTTGTAGAATTCCAAACGAAAATGTTTCTTCTCATGGAAGCCAAAAAGTTTTCTTCAATGAAAACGAAAAGCTATTTTCATAGAAGTCTAAATATAGAATTGATCTACCGATAATTAAGATTCTTAAACCACAATAAGCTTGATTAATCAACTGCTTCCCAAATCTCTATTTGTTTTCCATCAAAATAATAAATAAAATAATAAATCTCAAAAAGTGAGGGAAGTTTTCTCCTTGAATATAAACACCATTTCTACTCACCCTTTACTTTTTACCAATCTAAATTCCCAACTAATTTCCAAATATTCCTCTTTTTTCCAGGTATTCTATTATGAAATTTTGAACTCACCCGATCGCGCCTGCCGTTTGGCGAAAGCAGCATTCGATGATGCCATTGCAGAACTTGATACATTAAGTGAAGAAAGTTACAAAGATTCCACACTTATCATGCAACTGCTGAGGGACAACCTTACATTATGGACATCGGATATGCAAGCCGATGGTGAGTTAACTGAACTGAAAAAATAAAATCTTACATTGAGATGCAATATTTATTAAATATTCGTTTTTTTTTTAACTCTTTTCGCAGGTGATGGTGAACAGAAAGAACAAATCCAAGATGTTGAAGATCAGGATGTGTCGTAATTTAAGTAAACCCCCCACAAAAACAAAAAAAAAAACAAAAAACAAATCCTTAAAAACAAAACAAAAACATACCCCCTAAAAATACTATTTGCATTTCTTATTTTTAAAACTACAACAACAAGAAACAGAAAAGGAAACTGTTCTCCTCCAGTTACTACACCCAACTGCAGCAAAACACCACCCACACAACTACAATCCCCCAGAAACAAACAATTCATATAATTCATGGCTCCCTTCTATATTCCTCCCCACCCACCCAACCACTCTCTCCAAAGCAACAAGTACATATAATTAATAAAAACTAATTTTCAATTCGGAAATACCAGAAACAACCCTCTTTTTTCATCTATTCGTTTTCTTTTTGTATTAATTAAATCAATCAGTCAGTCAGTGAGTCAATGGATCGTTTTATCGATCCAGCAGAAGCATGTTTTTTTCTACAACAACATCAACAACTACTATTATTATTATATTATTATTATACATATGTATTTTTTAAATGTAGTCATTACAATTAAATGTAATATTCTATATTTTCCACTTTTTATAGAGGTCACATTTCTCATTCGATTCTTAAAAACAAAACAAAACAAAAAAAAGAGCAGTAAAAAAAGTAAAACAAAAATGCAGGAAACCCTAGGGTTTTCTCCTCCCACTCCACCACTCTCTAAATAAAAGCAAAAAATTCAGCTCGTTGTCCTTATTATTTTGCGACAGGGTGCTGACACCCTGTGTCAGCAATTTGCAGCCGCCAACCCAATTCTCCAATATAAATTATATTCTCCACCAACACCACCTCTCTCTCCCACACTCCATCATTTCTCAATGTGTGAAAAAGAAAAGCATTTTTTTTTTGCATTAAAATATATAATAAAAATGAAATAATAAAAAATATTAAAGAAATAAAAATTATATATTAAATAAAAACAACAACAAGAATAAAGAACAACAAACCAACATCTGGAAAAAATACATCAAAAAATAAACAACAAATAAATAAAAAAAAGGAAGGAAAAACAAACAAAGAGATACTATCATTTTTTTAACATTGATGAGAGAGATTGTAGAGCAATTGCGCAAAGTGAGAACAGAAATTGAATATTTGACACAAAACACACACACACATACACACGCCTGTCTCTCCCACATTTTCCAATCCCCACAACCTACCAACCAATCAATAAACCAACCAACCCAACAACAGCCAGCAACAAGATGAAGAAGAACAGTCATATAAAATTACATAAAAAGAATTTGATAATTAATAAAACAAAATGCTACGAAACACACAATAAAATAAACAAATTTATTATTAATTTCTTATATCTCGTAGTAGAAGAGAAAAAAGTTCTTTAATTTTAAAGACTTCGGCGGCAATGATGCCGCCGGTTTGTGGTGATAAAATCGATCAATCAACGGATGACGGGGTCTCGTCGTCGTACACAAAACAGCATGCTGCCCTGTCCTGACTATCGTGCCACTAACATTAATGGTGGAGTTATAAAAGGAGGAAAGATCGTTGCAGATTTTGTTGGACAAAAATTTGTTAAATTTTGATTTTTCAAAATGTTTCAAATGTTGTGTCATCGTGTTCAATGACTGCGATCATAGAATTAACAACGACAACATGTCAAACGTTAAAAGAGGGGGTGAATTGAGGGTAAAGAAGTAGGAGGAGAAAAAGGGAATCATGGAAATATAAACTATTTCTGCAGACATTCCATGATACCGAAAAGGAAAAGATGATAAAGGTGGTGGGTGGGACAAAAACCATAGAAATATTTGTTGGGAAGGGGGAGTGAAGTCATTGGACACATTAGAATTCAAGATTTAAATTGCCCTTAGCCCAAAATTTATGTTGATTCGAATTCATTGTTTGCAACGATTGCGCGAGAGAAATGGCCGGCATGTCGTACGTGCCGTTTTCTATTAGAACTCCAAAATTCTAAACGATATGTAGGGGGGAAAATATCTCCTATCCCTGTAAAATTTGATGGAATTTGCCTTCTATAATACAACATTTTATTTCAGTCGCGCTGACAACCCAAGTTTGGTGGCAATGCATAATCGAGCCATTTATTCGTAAGTCTCTTTGGACCAAATCTGTTTCAGGATATTTGGAGTCGATCTAGCGATGTCCGTCCGTCCATGCGCATGATAACTCAATTAAATGTTGAAATGTCCGATTTCGAATGCGAGAATTTCTCCTAAGGTAATAATTCCATGATTGGGATCGAAAAATGTGGTCATCACTTGTTCCAGTGATTGAATATCTTGAGGGGGACTACATGGATGCGTGGTGTTTTGAGATTGTGGGTGTAGAGCATAGTTTTCACACACAGAGGAACTACACCCGTCAGTGTGGAGGTGGGGGCTTTACCTCCTCATAAGTGAATGGTTTACATATGAGCGACGAAGCCTCTTCCTCGAGGTTGACAAAACTCTATGCTTTCACTGTAATATATACTCTTGGATGTTAAAGTCGTGGAAATACAGAATGTCTCCAGTTGAGTAGGTTTGGCTTTGCAATTAAAGATTTGCAGCATATTGTGCGGGCCTATATCATATGCCGGGCAGACGTCACGCACATCTTCGTCAATTCGTACCCATTTCGGGTTGTTATTTTGGAAATGTCTTTTTCGAGTGGGCGAGATCGAGGCCTTTTTTATAAATACACTTTGGGCGAGATAATCATGTTATGTAGGTGTCGAATGTTTGCCAAATTTTGTTTCGATGCATGTGCTTGCTTGTTGATCATTTCGCATGAAATCTTGTGGTGTAATATGATGAATTGGAATGGGAAGAATGTTTTGGCTGTGGAAGTGAAATTAAAGATATGAATGAAAGGAATTGCGCTAAAGGTATCCGGAAAGATGTCACGATTTCAGGATTTCTCCTTTTTATTTTCTTTGAAATGGTCATAAAATTTCGATAGAGGTGTTGTTGGTTTTTCAGCCAAGTTTCCAGGTAAATTGCTTGGAATAGAATGCAACATTATTTGGAGGAATCTTAAATGAGTTTATTTTCTATGAACTTGGAAGAGCGGCGTAGCTTATTTGTAACGGCCCCGCCAGACTTTCTAACTTTCTTTATTGGTTTTATTTTAACATGTAGTTTCCTGCTTATGGTAGAAGAATACAGGTAGATGAATCATCGCCTGAATCAAAAACGTTTAAATGTTTCTTCAAAAATAAGTAGATTTGTATATGTTTTCCTATACGACGCCAAATTTTTACAAATTTGAATAATTTTTCATTGAACATTTTCAATTTCAAAATCGGTTTGACAGTTTTTGTCCCTTGTATCATAGACAAATTAAGGTATAGACTAAAAAGTTGTCTCATCTGTTATCTTCGAAAAAAGTGCTTCAATAGATGTCGTTCATGCTGTGAGAGAGCAAAAGTCTATTCACTCAATTCTCTCAAAATACAAAATATTGAATATTTTTATGATTCTTTATTATTTATCAATTAAAAACGAAACAGTGACTTTGTTTATTTTTACATCATCCAAATATGACGTGAAATATAAAAATATAGAACTTAAATAGCAGAAAAATGAATAAATTGTTTTCGAAGTCGTGTGACTTCACTAGCCCTGAGTGACTTGATTGGCCCAAGATCAACAATAGTGACATCTGCCGGAAAGGGTAAATTTTAAAACTTTTTAGTCTATACCTTAATTTGTCTATGCTTGTATTCTTCTACCATGTTCCTGCTAAAAATAAGTAGATGTAGTATTTTCATAGACTAATGAATGAATAGACCATATAATACTAATTTTGTCTTGTTATCCAGGGCAGATCAGACGACATCTGCTGTTTCTAATCCCTTCGTCAATATATTCCTTAGTGTATGGTCTTTTGTTTTGTTTTCTTTAAATAGTCTAAGATTTTCACCTTATTGGCATTCTAAATAGGAGCCGCGCGCACTCAATTTGAAAATTCTCAGAGAGAGCATTCTTTGTCTATGCATTAATTTGACGTCTCTGTAGTTGTGTCTCTGTGTGAATTTCCTTGGGGACATTTGAAATGTTATTCCATTTTTTTCTTGGAAGGAAAACAACCTTGACTGTGTTCTCTATATAGATCTAATATAATTTCATTTAAAACACACATACCAGACACATACACACCAAAAAGCGATAACAAAGCTACACACGCAGAATCCCCTACAAAATAACTCTCTTTTGTTTTGCATTGATTTATTACATTAAGCTTTTGTGTAGTGAAGAGTTTATAAAAAAAAAAACAAAATACCTATAGTTACAAACAATGATGAACAGAAAACATGGTAGTGTATATTAATTATAATTAATATGAAAATAACAAAAATCCGTACACAAATTATAAATATTTACTTTTACACTTCACTTCAACAACAACCACAACAACTCGCATTCATACAACAGACAAACACCTACACACACAGAGAGAACATTTCAACTTCATAATTCTCATAACGACAAAACAAACAAAAAACAGAACATAAATTGAAAATAAAATAATACGAGCATATAATTACAGCAGCGTATCACACTTTGATCATAAGAATATATTTAAATAAATAAAAAAAAAAACAACAAACGACAATTCTTTTCCAATAAAAAAAACTTAGAAAAAACCGAAATTTTGCCTGGTAGTTTTTTTTTTCTGGCCCGGTCAATATTTTATTTTCATTCATTAATGAAGTTGAAGCCAAATTAGTCCAATAAGTTTTGACGCAATAACAATCAACTCTTCTCAGTTGTGGTGTTATAATGTGTGACTATATTTCATTCATAAATACTTGGTATTACTTGACTTGACTACATTCATACATAAAATAAAAGTCCTTAATACTAAAAACTTATGCTAATAAAATTTATTGGTTGTCATATTTTGAGTCAATTTTTTGTTTGTTTCAAAACTGCGAGTGTTCTACACTCTTCACTGCTTCGATTGTAGGCGTACGAGAATTTGCTGCAAATATGAGGCCTGTGATGGATATATGTTTTGCAGTATTTTTTGATAATCTTCCAGAGATTTCAGGACACGCATCTGCAAGACATATAAAAATATTAATTTAAGGAATTGTGTTTTTTTGTGAACCTAAATTGCTTCCATTTTTCAAATGTATTAAATCTAACATTTAATTTAATTTTTAGCAATAATTGTTAATAAAAAATGTTAGGCTCTTATGTCGAGTTACTAGAAGGAGTTGTCCAATCAATTCCACATTTACAACACACCTCTGTCTAAGAGAAATATTTAGATATTCCAAGTTGGGAAAAGAATCGCTGGTTTCACAAGTTATGAGAAGTATAAGTATTGAAAATTGTGATCCTTTGTTAGGGAGGTAGCAGAAGGTGTCTATAATTTTCACACCAGATCTTGTGTTGGAAGAAATATAGGGATGTGCGAAATTGGAAGAGAATCTGATGCTTATTTTTCATTTTATGAGAGATTTGGTTACTCAAAAATTTAACAATTTTGAGGAAGGTACCAGGTGGAGCTGGCCGATATATCCCTTTTTCAAACCAGATCTTGTGTTAGCAATAACATTAGGATGTGCGAATTTGGATAAGAATCGGATGCTTATTTCACATTTTATGTGTGTTTTGGCTTTTCGAAGTGTTGAACCCTTTGTTAGAAAGGCCCCATAAGGAATGGGCCCATATATCCCTTTTTCACACCAGATCTTGTATTGGTATAAATATCGGTATCGGTGCACTTATGAGCGTTTCGATTATTCAACATTTTAACCCCCTTTTTTTAAGAAGGTCTTATAAGGAATGGGCCCATATATCCCTTCTTCACACTAGATCTTGTGTTGGTAGGAACATCGCGATGTGTGAAATTTGAAAAGAATTGAATGCTTATTTCACATTTCATGAGCGTTTCGGTTATTCAAAATTTCGACCCCTTTGTGGGGGGAGATACTAGATGACGTGGTCTGATATCTCCCATTTTCAAACCAGTTCTTGTGTTAGCCAAAATATTGGTATGTGCGAACTTTTAATCGGATGTACAGGGTGAGATTAAAAAACTGCAACTAACTTCAGACTGCTGTCATTTCTAAGCCACGCAAACATTTTGACCTTAGACCTTTGACATTCCAACAGGACTCAACACGCGCCACTCAATAATGGTTACAAAATTAGGTTCCTCGCTTCATTTCCAGCGCACAATGGCCACCAAAATCTCCGGATACCAATCCGTTGGACTTTTGTGTCTGAAGTATTTTGGAAAGCAAGGTTAGCACTAAAAAATACCAAAGTGTCGATCACCTCAATCAAGCGCTTCGCGGCAATGGGCCAAAATACCGCAGAGCAACATTCATGCAGCGTGTGACGTTTTCATTGGTCGTTTGATGGCCACAATTCGAGCCAAAGGTGACCAATTCGAACAAATCTAAACTTAATCTAAAATTTGATGCTATTTCCGACATTTTTTGCTTTCATTCAATAAAATTAAAAAATTAAAAATTATGGCGTTTGACTTTGTTGCAGATTTTTTATCTCACCCTGTATACTTCGCATTTAATGTGTGTTTTGGTTATTCAAAATTTTGCCCCTTTGTGGAGGAAGTAGAAAAAGTTGTGGGCCGATATATCCCATCACCAGATCTTTGTTGAATAAAGCATTGAGATGTGCGAAATTCGAATCATTTTAGCATTTTTTATTTCAAATTTTCAGCTTTTGTGGGAGAGGTACTTGAGGGAGTGTTGCCCACTTTCCCACCTGTCCTAGCACTGATAAAAATGTTAAGATTTTGTAAAGTTTCCACAAATTTGGATGATCCCTTTTTGTTGCTATAAGGTAAATTATTTTCCTTGAAAATGTTGACATTTTGTGGGGGAGGTGCCAGAAGGAATGGACCGATATTGCCAATCTCCGAACTCGATCTAAGTTTGGTAATAATATTACGATGTACCAAGTTTCGGGAGTTATAGGGCTATTATGCTGTCTTGCTTTCAAATTGGATTAGAGTCAGAGCAAATGGCATTTTAAGATCTTTTGGGTCGTTGGAACTTCGAACTCAACATATATTGTTCTTATTTTTTCATATCAGTAGGCCCTGGAAATTAGTTTTAATATGACCCTTTTATGTTTTCCTTTTTCTTTATATCCACTGTTAACGTCAACTCAATATCTTAACCATATTTCCCTTTCAAACTTACAATATATTTCGGTTCCATGTGCGACTCATGTTTCAAAGCCAATAGCCCCAGGTTCAGAGCCAAAAGATAGATCTGCTCCTTTGATAAATCAGCATAGCGAACAATGCGTACCAAAAGTTCCAATGACAATGTGGCTTGTAATTTATACTGTTGGATACTTCCCAATTGGCTTAGACATCGGAGGATTTCTTCAACAACAAATGCACAAAGATTGTTGACTTCGCCCAAAAATTTGGGATCATGGCCATACAATTCGTCATTTGAGATAACTGTAGAATAATCAAAAATATATAAAAATATATATATTAATTAATCCATTAGCTTACCACCCGGTATGTGATATGGAAATGTTTCCAAACTCTGGACATACAGCATATCTAAGGCATTCAAGTAGATATTCGCTGGACCACTTTCATGGGCAAACGAGTATTTTTGTATAACATCCAGCAGCAGACGCAACAAATACAATACACCCTGATCTGGGCTATCGGGCACGAGTACCAATGTGGCCAGCATATTGTTCAGAAATGAAATGAGATACACATCCATTGTCCGTGATTTACCATCAATATCGATGGTGTTCTGTAAATCGCCTACCAAATTCAAAGCTTCCTCAAAGCAGGCATCTGCCTGGCCCAAACAATTGTTGACCAATGCCACCTGTCCGCTCAATAGATATAAATCCATTTGTTGTTGTATCGAGGTAATACTTGGTATGGTGATAAAACAAAATGCCACACAGGCTTTGACAAAACTCAACGTCTTACGGCTGTGTTTGTATTTGACAATTTGACACGTTTCCATGGCCAATTTGTTGACGGAATGTACCAATGTGTTGTAGACACTATCCAGATTGGAAAATGTACCCCTGGCCTCAACATAGAAGCTTAGTTGTTTCTCAAAATCTGTGCCGAAATGAACTTTACGTATGAAACTGCATATCAGATGCGATATCTGGCGTCGTTCATCTTCAACGGTTAGGGCACTGGAATACATTTGGATATTATGCTTTTGAATTGCAAGAGTTTTTCGAATAACTTACTTCACATAATCATTGAGTATCTTGCCGATATACATTAGGGCATTTATAACAACAGGATCATTGGTGGACTCATTGCCGTTGCGTTTGTAAATATCCAAAATGTGTTTGCAGGCCTCAACTTTGAGGGATTCCTTTTGAAATAAATCCAAATAACTTAGGAAATGTTCCTGCACCAATAACAGCTCAATGTTCTTTTGATATTGCAGCACTTTATCGAGGATATTTCTCAATTGCTGATGATGTTTTTCGCATACGGCCTTGGAGATGGATATGCGATTATGGATTTCCCCCAGGAAGCGATTTACTTCTGCAATCTATAAACAGGGGGAAAAGGAGAAAAAACTTTATGTTACACCACACGAAATTTATTTCTGATCTTACCGGCATATTTGTGGCAATATATTGAGCCCAGGATTCCACACTAATGATATATTCATTGGGATCGGTAAAGGTATTAATGGTCTTGAAAACCTCTAGCAAAAATGTTTGCTTCGATTCACACAGAGGAGAACAAGTACTCATACTGGTGCCCAAGGCCTTGAAGAGTTGAGATTTGGAAATACCCTCCGTGGAGGCCGATAGAATGTTGACAAATTCAAAGGCATGGGCTGCAATGAATTCGGGTTGAAATGCATGTAGAATTGCCATTAGAATTGTGCCACTGTAAAGAGTAGATGCTTGGATTAGAAGATGCCATGGAAAATCAATTGAGTACTTCAAGTTACTTATTTTTTATGCTCTGAACCTCTTTGAGAATCTCTTCATTGTAGAGACTATTTTTGTGCACCAAAGCTTCCAATATGAAATTCAAAGCTGGGCCATATAAAGTCAAATACGCTGACATATCAACCCTTTGTCTATTCAATTCGGAACGTATTGAACCGCTAAATATCTGCAAGAGAAGTAAATTGAATAAAGCCAATGGACATTGGGAAAATACAAATGGTCTCAACTTACCGTTTGATAAATGTAAAGGAAGTCCCGGAAATTTTGATAAATATATGCCTTGTTAGGTGTTTGCAAAAGTACTCCGGTACGCACTAAATAACAACGGGCATACACGGCGACGAGGGGATCTCCAATACCACGCAGAGCTTTGGTTAAACGCAGTAAAGCATCGTCGTAGCTAGTTTATAGGGGAGAGAAAATAAATGAATTGGGATAAATGGGAAATATGGCTAATATTATAAGTTCTCTTGTGTTATTGATTGGATGGATGTAAGGACAACAACCGTTTTTGAAGGTTTTCAAAACATAAAGTTCACATTCAGAACAGAAGATGGGAGGGTCCTCTAGATTATTTCTAACTTTACCTAAGGGCTACGAATTTGTTCGGAAAATTCGATCAATAACAAAAGGAAATTTCTAAAAAAAGACCGTATTTGGAAACCGGATTCATGGTGGAAAAGAAGATTTATGACGTTCAATTCATTTCACATCTACAAAAAATGGAATTTTGCCTCCAGTTCTGTCACAGATGGCAGAGATCATACCAATATGTCTCCTCTTAATTACCTTTCATTTAAAAATTCATAACATTTGAGTATGGCCATTTCCACATAGAGCCTTGGCAGAAGTTCACGTATTGAGGCGATTTTGAAAAACCAATTTTGGCATGTATCTCGGGCACTATCAGCATTGGCTTGACGCATGGATCTGCAATAAGAGTATCAATAAATCTATTAAAAAAATCAAAATGGCTGGTGAAAATATTCCATAACATACTCCGGTCCCGAAATCGATTTCTGTTTAAGTCGATCATATACCAACTTTCCAAATATATCCAAAATATCTGTGATCAAAACAAATTGACTGGGATAAAATGATAAGACCGAAGTATCGGCCAAAATTTTCGAACATTGTATGGCAATTTTCAGCGCCTTAACACGTTGATCGTTGTGCCAGGATTGTACCAATTCATGATTTAATTGCTCAATACGTTGTATATATTCCTGTTGGGTTAAGTCCATCATGTGACGCACCGAACCATCCTCAAAGTCGTCCAATTGTTCCAAACGGAATTTCACTTTATCGGAGACGACTGTTTGGACTTTAACTGAAATTCAAAGGATATTTAACTTTAAATCGTTCCATTTGGTATAATACTTACTAGTATCCGTGCCCAATTGTGAGGAAGTAGATGTTGTCAAGAAACTGGTGGATATGGACAATTTTTCAGAGGTTGTAAATTTGTTAAGTATTGTCAGGCGCCTGGAATTCCAATTCAGACTATCCTCCAGTACATCTAAAGGTTCTTTGTCACGTATCTTTGATTTGACTTTCTTAAAGGATTCCTGCAATGAAGAATCTTATTTATTATACCATTTGGTTATAATAAAATAGTCCTTACATATTCCGAGGCCATTTGTGTCAACGGATCGATGGCATCTTGTTCCTGTTTGGCAAACTGTGACAATGGATCGAGGGCTGCATCCAAGGTGCTTGGTGCCGCCAGGGGGTCAGCCAATACAGACAGACTAGATGAACGACTACTGGCATTGCTACCTAAGCTGGGCGCCCTTGTTCCTTTGCTATCCACCACAGCAAAGAGTTTTAAGGGATGCTCAAATGTCTGATAGCTGGGAAAGTAATTTTTGGTCACCTCATACAGGCGGGGAGCACATACCCTATTGAGAAGAAAATCGTATTCTTTGAGGAGATTCTGTGCATTACACTAGGGTTTTATAGAAATTACCATTCACTGGCCATTTTTCAATGGTTCCGGAAAAATTTGTTCCAGAGTACAAAGCTCCAATGAGTAGAGTACGTAACGCCGTAGAGTAAATCTGAGAAACATAGACCAAAAGCGGGAATACGCGATAAAGATAAAAATCAAAACAAAAGATACAAACAAATCAAAACAGTGAAAAGGAGAAAAGAATATATTTCTCACTCCTTCATTGCCAATTCTTCTAAAACTAGGGTTCTAGAAGATTAATTTGTGCCGAATCAAATATGTGTGTGTGTTCACTGAATGAACCAGGGATCTAGTTGCTTTCTTTTTTACTCAATGGCGTCTGAGGTAGAAATGCAGGGAATATAAGGCTGCTTGGGCATAGATTTTAATAACTATTTTCAAGCGAATATAGGGCTACAAAAGTGGGGACACTTTAAGACTATTTTTAGGCGATAAGGCTGCACAGTCGTGAACTTTTCAGGACTGTTTTCAAGCGAATATAGGACTCCAAAGGTGGGGACTTAAGACTATTTTCAAGCGAATATAGGGCTCTAAAGGTTGGGACTTTTTAAGATTATTTTAATGCGAATACAAGGCTGCATAGAAGTGGACTTTTTAAGAATATCTTCAAGCGAATATAAGATTGTATAGGAGTTGACTTTTTAAGACTATTTTCAAGCGAATATATGGCTGCATAGGCGTTGACATTCTATATCTATTTTCAGACAAATATAGGCCTCCATAGGTGGGGACTTTTTAAGATTATTTTCAAGCGAGTATATTGCTCCAAAGGGGAGGGGACTTTTTAAGATTATTTTCAAGCGAATATAAGGCTATATAGGCGTGGACTTTTTAAGTTTTTTTATAGGGGAATATAAGGCGGCATAGGCGTGGTCTTTTTAAGTTTTTTTATAGGGGAATATAAGGCGGCATAGGCGTGGTCTTTTTAAGACTATTTTCAAGCGAATATGGGGCTCCAAAGGTGGGGACTTTTTAAGACCATTTTCAAGCGAATATAGGGATCCAAATGTGGGGACTCTTTTTGATTATTTTCTCACGAATATAAGGCTGCATAGCCGTGGACTTTCCAGGACTATTTTCAAAGGGATATAAGGCTGCATAGGCTTGGACTATTGAAGCTGCATAGTAGTGAACTTTTCAAGACTACATGTTAAGATAACAAAAAACTACAGCAAAGCCAAACACCATAATTTTTACATTTTTTTAAATTTAATTGAATGAGAGCAAAAAATAGCATCAAATTTTAGAATAAGTTTGGATTTGTTCGAATTGGTCAGCTTTGGCACGAATTATTGCCTTCGAACGGCCAATGAAACCGTCACACACTGCCCGAATGTTGCTCTGTGGTATTTTGGCCCATTCCCTGCGAAGCGCTTGCTTTTCTTTCTGTTGTTTTGTTGCGATGCAAGTTCTTGCAGTTTTTGGAATTTCAATGACTTTACCCCGAGCTCATTTTTCAATATTCGCCGAATGGAATATTGCGATATGTTCAGCTCACGAGCCATTTTTCGGCTACTGCCGAACTAACGAGCGATGGTACGAGACACAGAAGATTTATTTATTTATTTTAATAATGTCGAACGAGTGGTCGAGAAATGACAGCAGTCTGAAGTTGGTTGCATTTACCCTGTATATTCGATGTACTCTACAGGTGAGAGTACATGAGCAGCTTGGCATCATGGCTAGGGGTATTAATGCCAAATTATAAAGGGAAACGACGGCAGTATTCGAGTGTGGCTCTGACATCCCTTTATCATGTGTTACAAAATATGCCATGCGATCTCACCTTAAGGGTGGAAATACATAAAGCGCTTCTTCGTAGGCGAACAAAGGAGCTTTAGGTTGACTTAGTTCGATTTTGGCCCTAGGACCCTTTGTTACACCTTAAGGGTGTAAGTACATAAGAAGCTTGAAGTCATGGCTAGGCATATTTTGTGACATTTCATAAAGGGATTACAGAGCCGCACTAAAATCCTGGCTTCGTTTTCCTTTATAATTTGACATTAATATGCTTAGCCATGACTTTAAGCTTCTTATGTACTTGCACCTTAAGGATCCCAACATGTAGATTTTTCAAGAAAATTGTCATGGTATTTTAAGGGTCCTTAGGAAATTATTTTTTCAAGACAATATTCAGAATACATTAATGTACCATTGGTAGGCTTTTTCAACTTGAAAAAAAAAAAACAAATTTTGGGTTTAATTTTTCGCCTTTATTATTTTTATTTAAGTTTATTTTACTTAAACGAAATGATTTATTTACAAGAACACAATCAAATATTACAATAATAAAAAAAATATATATAAGTACATATACAAATTACTATAAAACACTCAAGAATACAGGGATACTTAACTAGTATAAATGCTTATTGTAAATAATGACTATATATTTTGAATTTGTGATAATTCCATTTAAATATGTTTTGTTCGTTATTCATAACCATTCATTTTTGTTTGCGAACACTATGTGTACAATTTTAGTTAGTTGGTTTTTCTATAGATATATTAATTTTTAATATGTTTCTGTTGGGATTCGGAGATGAAAAACGTTCACAACTTTTTTGGTATTTAAGGTAGGAATACATAAAGCGCTTATTTGGCTGGCTTCTTCGGAAATGAACAAAGGAGCCTAGGGCCAAAATCGAACTAAGTCAACCTAAAACTCCTTTGTTCGTCTACAAAGAAGCCAGCCAAATATGCGCTTTATGTATTTCCACCCTTATGACCCTTAAACAAAATTAAAATTTTGTCGGAAAACTTTTTGAGAAAAGAATATTTTGAAAATAAAACACAAATATGATTTTTTTAGAAGAACAAAGGAGTGTTAGGTTTCTTTAGTTCGATTTTAGCTCTACGCTTCTTTTTTCATTTCCGAAGGAGTCAGTCGATCTTAAGTCAGTCAAAAAAGCGTTTTATGTATTCTCACCTTTAAAATGTAGAAATAGTTCCCCCGAACCTCCCACAAATAAATGTTGATATTATTTTTCTTTTTTTTAATTAGTTCGATTTTGAAACTCTCGTTTAAACTAACATTAGTTTACATTTATATATTAATATCCATTTTCAATAATTTACTTTTGTATAAATTAAAGCATGAATAGACTAAAATGTATATTTTTTTTATAAATACTGCAGAATTAGAACAACGAAAAAAGAATATTACAGAATTTCTAAAATTTAGCATGACTTTCTAGGTCTAAGTCTAAAGACTATTTCAAGTGAAATATTTTTTTAACATTATAAAAAATATAGTTTTAAAATAAGTTTTATTTAGTGACATAGCATGTTGTTGTTGTGTTTTTTTAAGTATGGAGAATACAATAATTAAAAATATTAATAATAATATTATAAGCAAGGAAAATAAGCCTTGATGTGGGAATACATAAAGCGCTTATTTGGCTGGCTTTTTCGGAAATGAAAACAGGAGCCTAGGGGCAAAATCGAACTAAGTCAACCTAAAACTCGTTTGTTCCTCTACGAAGAAGCTAGACGATGACTTAAGCTAGCCAAATAAGCGCTTTATGTATTCCCACCTTTATTTGGTTGGATTACAATTTCTTTTTGCAAAGCATAATTTGCAATTTAATGAAAAATTGTTGTTGATGCAGTAGTCTATATATTGTTACTCGATTTCTTGGGCTGAGTTGATATTCCATGGCCAAGTAAACCCCAGTTCGTTCTGGAAAAGACTACATAATTTTTTCATTTATATTTTTATGTTTGTATATAAATTATTTTATTTTTTCTGTATAAGGCCACATTGATCATGGCACATTAAATGCAAGGCCCCATTTTCCAAATGTGTTGTGAAAAAGGTTTGGCATTTGTATATATTTTTTTCTAGAGAAAAAAGTGTAATGATCAGCTATCACTTGAGTAATTTTGTATGAAGTTTGACATTGGCAAAAATGTAGAGAGAGAGATTCAATAAATCTGGCATTCCTGCGAGCGAATTAGTCTAAAAACAGCTGTTATTGTATCAAATCAAATGTCAAATAGACATTTTTTAAATGTCAGATTATAAAGGTAAACGACGGTAGGATTCTAGTGCGGCTCTGACATTTCATTGTAGTATGCATGGTAGAATAATAAAGGTAGGTGCATCAACGCTTGGGAACATTGATATATAATTGATAAATTTTAAAACGTTTTTTTAAATATAAGTAGATTTGTATATGTTTTCTTATACGACATAAATCGTATGTTTTTTTCAACAATTTTTACAAATTTGAATAATTTTTCATTCAAGATTTTCTGTTCCAAAATTGTTTTGACAGTTCATTGTCCAATTAGCTGCAGTCGATGCATCTACCTGTATTATCCTACCATGGATAATAACTGGCATATTAATGACAAATTATAAAGGCAGCAGGATTCTAATACGGCTCTGACATTTCCTTCTAGTATGTCAGTAAATATGTGTAATATAAATATGCCAAGCTGCTCGTGTACCATCACCTTTAGTAGTCGATTTTAGCTCTCTAAAATGTTTCGATATTGTTTTTAAATCTGAGTCTGCTCGAATTGATGGGGATTTCTCGATACTAAGGTTCCGAAGGGGTCTATTTCTCAATACTATGGATCGATAGGTGCCGATTTCTCAATACTAAGGCTCCGAAGGGGTCTATTTCTCAATACTAGGGATCTATAGACGTGGAAGGCTCCGAAGTGGTCTATTTCTCAATACTAAGAACCTCTAGAAGTGGTCTACTTCTCAATACTAAGGATCTATACTGAGGCTCCGAAGTGATCTATTTCTCAATACTATGAATCTATAGGCGAGGATTTCTCGAAAGTGGCCTATTTCTCAACACTTGGGATCTATAGTAGTGGATCTCTAAATACTACTGGTCCGAAGTGGTCTATTTCTCAATACTAAGGATCTATAGGCATGGAAGGCTCCGACTTGGTCTATTTTTTAATACCAAGGATCTATAGGCATGGATTTCTCAATATTAAGGCTCCGAAGTGGTCTATTTTGTAATACAAAGGCCCGAAGGTGTGGATCTCTACATACTATGTCTCCGAAGACAGGAATAACTTACGACTAGGAATCCATAGGCGCGGATGTCCACAGTTTGAGGGGAAGGCAAGGCTATATTTAAACGATTTTCCAATAAAGTTTTTAAGGCACTATAAGTCTCTATGCGAAATTTTATCTTCTCCAGATTCAAAGGGGGGTCTTAAGAGTACTTCTACTTTAATATCCTAGAAAAGACGATGGCCTTAATTGGTTTTAAGTGGCCCAATAGGTGCATTATCCCCATAAAATTGGCAGAAATTATACTCACTATAACAAATTTCATTGGCAACCCTGTCCCAGATCAATCAGCTGTTGACAAATTGTTTACGTTTGTGAAAATCAAAATGCATAACACACAACCGGCAGCATAATGAGAATGGTATTTTCATTGTTCTAGTCAATTATTAAATATACTTTTGTTTCCAAATGTCAAAAGAAACAAAAACAGGAAGACGCATGAGTTGTCAAATTTTTTTTGAAAAATTTTTTAGGCTAAGGTGACAATGCTTGGCCACGAAGAATATGTTCCATTCCCGATCGAAACGAGAAATATTTGCTTTTTTGTTATTTCAGCTGGCCAAATGATTAAATTATATGATTATGGAAAGTTTGAATTCGAATTCGAAGAATTTGATTTTTTGTAAAAAGAAGAAACTTCGATTTTTTATGCCATGTCAAACGTCAAACAAAATAAATCCAATCATTGACTGTTAGGTAAATGTTTTAGATTTAGGCATTTAACTTTGATTACTCCAGATACCTACACACTATATACTATTACTATATACATACAATACATATCATGTTGTTCTTTTTTTTTTTTTTTGAAATCTTAACTCTAAAAAAATTATATAATAAAGACTACAAACATAGCAACAAATCAGCTGGATAAGCAGTGTGGACCTCATCTTAGAATCCATACATCTACAAAACACACACATATATACACAGAAATATCATAGTGGACCAGGTGAACAGCTGCAGAGCAAAAAAAAAAACCCTGGAAAATACATTTGGGGAAAACAACTCAAATTAATTGAACAAATATTGTTTAAATTCAAAATATTACCTAGAGAGAGAATAAGTAACATTTAGCTCCCAAGTCGATGATATGCCTTTTGCCATAAAAGAAGTAAATTAATTTTGAATAAAACAAGTGCTAATTTTTATTGGCTCCCTCTTTTTTTGTTCCCATCACACCACTTGCACTGTGGCAAAAGCACTAAATGTTACTTTCTTGGGGAACTCAGGACCGGGAGAGCCACGTGTTTTTATGACTGGCTTAAGGTTTGTGGTTTTGGTCTTCAGCGACATTAGGCCAGCCGAGGCTGCCAATTCCCGTAGCCTTTGTGAAAAACCATTCGAAGACGAACTGCCAGCAGCTGCAGCCTCTGTGCCATCGGTCATATCTGCTGTGGGGTTTGGATGGTTTGTCACACCAGTATTGTGGTGTAATGCGTTGGCCGTTGGATGCATGCGATACATTTGTCCCGATGTACCCGGGTACATTAGACTAGCCGAGTTCACCGAATTCTGGGGGGCATTGGAGGGTGTGATATACCTGGAAAAAGAAAGAAAAGAATAATAATAAATTAGATGTTAATACTTTTTAGATAATCTATACATTTTTTGATTTACTTTATTGATTTTATTTTATCACATGCTTTAAGCGATGTACACAAACTCAATGACTTGTTTGTGTGAAATTTTATAAGCTGTTAAAATTGGTTTGTTATAACAAAAAATCAAAAAGAAAAAAATATTTTTCTGTTTACTTTTAACACGGTTATAATAAATAGAAATATTACCAGCAATTTGTTTTTTGCTGAATTATTTGCGTTAATGTGTCATTGTTTTCTTTTAACACAAGTTAATGTATTGCCAATATTTTGTAAATATTTGCCTACAAAATTACTCCTAAATAGCTTGCAGGATGATGGTTTATGTGTGCATAAAAAATGGGTGAGAAGTTAAGGCCATACTCTCCCTTCCTCTCATGTTGGTTATGCAAATCTTGGCATTACACCAAAACATAAAATCACAAAATTCTCACAAAATCACACCTACATCGGCCCTCGGTGGAATTCCGGCATACTCAGTCGTGGCATTTCTTTCAGGGAGATTCTCAACCCTTAACACTAGCAGTCCTAGGGGCTTAACAACAAGAGAGGAGTTGGTCTCAACGAAGAACAAAACAACAACACACCACACGACCATGACAAGAGAACTGGATGATGTTTGGTCCCTCACATTGCCGGCCCAATCTTGAACCTTTGGTCCAAAAAAACAAATTTTGAAAAGGGTCCCAATTTTCTACACACATTTATCTCACGCGAAACCTACCTCCTAGTATCCTTTATCAGAAATAGAAATTACAACATTTATTTGAGACATTGTCATTGTTACTTAACGTACCAAATATATTAACAGGCTGAGATGAAAAAACTGCAACCAACTTCAGACTGCTGTCACATCTAAGCCACTCGTCCGAGAGCTGTTAAAATTATTCCAGTGACAGTTCATTATATTCTTTACAAGCGTACAAAAGCATTTTGGAGACAATTTTCCAGAAAAAAAGTTATTCGTGATAGAATTCAAGCGTGATAGTGCGATTTCTTTATATTTGGCTGGAAAACCACAAGTTGCTATCGCTATAGCACTCCAGCATTAAAATGGGAATAAATATTTTGTGTCTCGTACCATCGCTCGTTACCTGGTAGTGATACTGGAAGCGTAGCTCGACTACAAGGAAGTGGACGGAAGAAAACAGCAACATCAGCGGAAATGGCTCGAAAAGTAAAGATCGAAACCCGCGTCGCAGAGGTCGTGAGCTGAACATATCGCAATATTCCATTCGGCAATTATTGAAAAATGAGCTCGGGTTAAAGCCATTGATATTTCCAAAAAGTGCAAGAACTTACACCGCAACAGAAAGAAAATAGACACAAAAGAGCTGCTTCGCTTGGCCGAAAGTGGTGAACTGGCGAATTTGGTTTTCTCCGATGAGAAAACATTCGTTGTCCAGCAGTTTGTAAACAAACAAAATGATCGTGTTCACTTGCCAAAGAGGTCAGATGAAAATGTTCACCTTCCGTTGGCCACCAGAACTCATGCGCCGGCCATGGTGATAGTATGGGCCGCCATAACAGCCGATGGTCGCTCTCCGCTCGTATTCGAGCGTGGCATCAGAATAAATGCCGAATATTATGGCGAAAATATTCTGCAGGGTGTATTAAAGGCTTGGGCACGCAAACATTTTGGCCGCAGACCTTGGATATTCCAACAGGACAACAGCACCATCGCACACAGCTCGCGCCACCCAAGAATGGCTACAAAATGAGGTTCCTCGCTTCATTTCCAGCGCACAATGGCCACCATAATCTCCGGATACCAATCCGTTGAGCTATTGTGTCTATAGTATTTTGGAATGCAAGGTTGGCACTAACAAATAGAAAAATGTCGATCACCTTAAGCAAGCGCTTCGCCGGGAATGGGCTAAAATACCGCAGAGCAACATTCGGGCAGCGTGTGACGGTTTCATTGGTCGTTTGAAGGCCATAATTGGTGCTGTAAACCGAGATCAATAATTAAAAGACGCAAAATCTTTTCCGTTTGAGCGTTTGTAAGACATTAAATTTATTTACTAAAAATATTTCTTAAGAACTACTTACGATAATATGACTTATGCTAAATTATCATTAAGTGTAAATGAGAGAGAGAGAGAGATATACCAACTGTACACATGCATATGCACCATAAACCTTAGGGGGAGGTCATAAACACGCATAGCTGTCTCACATGTGGCAAGCAAACATGCTGCACTTGCTTATCAGTCTGAGTAAAGATTACATCCCATAATCTAACTCCACCATAACACATGCAGCAATTGAAAATTCTGTATTATTTATTTCTAACTCGAAGGTCTGCTCACCACATTTTCTTATCTTACTTAATGTGGACTGTATTAACCCTTTCAGTGTTTTTGTCAAATATATTTGACATTTAAAAGTACTCTCTTTCTTTGCCATTTTTTGTTTTTCTTACGAACCGTTATTTTTGATATTTTTTTATAACAGACACGTTCGCTATTTAAAAATATTGCAGTTCTATTCTATTAGTTTCGTTTTCGAATTTCTGAGCACATTTTAGTAAATTAGTACGGAATTTCAGATTTTTATCTCGACAAAAATTTTCATTGACACTGAAAGGGTTAAGAAGATCCCTGTTTAACAAATCCCTCTCATCTACACTAGGTAGCCCTGCTATTCTCTTTTATTATAAAAACATGTTCACTTATCCGTGAACAGGTGCCAAAGGTAACGAATTCGAACATATCTAAACTTATTTTAAATGTTGATGCTATTTCCGACATAAAATAAAAATGTAAAAATTATGGCGTTTGACTTTGTTGCAGTTTTTTTTTTATCTCACTCTGTATGGTAACTTTCGATCCCGACTGATTTGACCTTGAAGAGCGGAACTTAAATCGAAGTTTTGGGAACTTCAAGTTGCTTTATTGGGCCCCTTTTATTTGACATTTCAAACTGAAAGCCTTCCTTTTTCATTTCTAAAATTCCAAGGAACTTCATAAAAATACAAATACATTGTTTTATTGGTAAATCTCCTTTGTCTTATTACCTTTTGGTTTATCCATAGGGATGCTCCATAAATTATAGCCTTCATTTAGCTTGACACACATCAAATTGAATTGAAAAAGTAGTTAAACTTCGAACAAAGTTTAAGCGAATGTTCAGTTGATGGTCCGGCATAAATATTGAGGTGGATCGAGCGAAAAGTCAGATCACAAATAACCATTAATTCCTATACGGATTCTATCCTGCTGGCTTAATGTGTTGAATTGAATTTCATCATAAATAAAATTCTGTCTCTCTCGCTCTCTCTCTGTTCTCTTTATATTTATTTATCATGCCAACATTCTTTTCAATCTGTTCCAGCCTAATATTCCGTACACTATTCAATGCATGAATACATATATGTCTCTTGTAATGAAGTTTAAGGTCAACCAGTTAACTGTACAAGTTTAAAAAATCGTTTGGTCATTGCCTTTTCATTTTCGTTTTTCGAGATTAAAAAGTAATTCAACAGCGTTGTCAAGTTGCAAGTCAGAAAAAAAAGAATCAAATCTCCCGAAAAGACTGCAGAACAAAATGTAAAGAGAAACAAAATACGTAACCGGCTTGAAAGAACTTTTAAATATTTATAAATACCGGTGCGATAAAAAAAATCATGCAGAACAAATGTAAATCGATTGCGAACAAGGCTAAGTAATAAACTTGAATTATTTGGAGAAGAGGTGTTAAAAAAGTTATTTTGAGATAATTTATTTATAGCAGCCCACTCAAGGAGCTTTCATATGGAAGGCCCTGCTCAGATTTTCAATAAAGGAAAAAAGTTTCTCATTTCTTTTCTAGACCTTCTATACATGCTCCAGGACTTCTATGGGTGATATTTTACTTGTGTTCTATAAACATGATTTTTAGATAAATTCTATGTTACAAAGATATTTTAAAAAAGTTTTATCAAAATTTGGAAGAAATACTAGCTTATCTTCAGGCTCATTGAAATTCTGTCATCATCCCAAAGTTGGCCATAACTCTTGTATCTATAGACAAAAGTCTTTGGAAAATGGCACACTTTCTATATTATTTATTTGTTGCCAGCATTCAAAATTGAAACATGAATATACAAAGTTCATAACTTTTGTTTTGCGTGGAGTATCTAATCTTTACAATAACAAAAAAGTGCAATGCTGCTGACATTAATTACAGTGTTGATCTCCCTCTCTCTCTGTTGTTATTTTCCTTTGTACTCTCACATTGTACAATAAAAAAAAATATCTGCAATTAAAATTCCAAGCATGCATATTGCAAATTTAGCACAAATGACTTTTCAAACAAAATGAAAAGTGAAAAAAAAAACAACAAGAAACATGTGTCTTTGAGTGTGTTCTGTGCATATGAAATGTCATAAATAAATCAAAAAATTTCAAAACAACATACCGTCACAAAAATATGTTTGGTCAAAAATCATCTAAAATGTATCAAAGCAATTTGCTTAGCAAAAATCGTGAGCAGAATTAAGGCAGTTGAATTTTAAGTTTAGAAAGCCAAAAGATTTTCGTACTACTTGTCTAGACTAGTTTCAAATGATTCAAAATGTTAGTCAGCTGATTTTTGGAGTAAAAAAGAGTGTTGCATTCCAAAATATTTTAATTTAACATTGGATTTAAAATAAATCCAAATCCAATAAATCCATCTTAAAACTGATTCAGCACATTAATCGTGATAATGCCCTTAGTCATAGGGCATTAAGTTAACCTTGTATAACCTTTTGCGGAACGCTTGTCAGTAAAATATGAAATAGGCATGATTTATATATTTTATATTCAAGCTGCATTGAAATTGCATTTTTGCATCTAGTGATCCCTGATAGTTTATAATTCAAAGTCAAAGAAGTATATGGGACAAATCCATGGTGGAAGAATATAGGTAGACGCATCGACACAGCTGCTGGGACAATGAACTGTCAAACCAATTTTGA